TGATCGGCCTTCATTTTGTCAGCTTATTCACCAGCTTAGCCCTTCAACATTAGCTATATCAATGAGCTCCTTAATGTGCGATTTACACAAGACATTCTGCAACCACCGTATGAAGCTACAGATAGAACTCCAGGCTCATATAGTAAAGGGCGGACGGTTATCACTTACGACTGATTCATAGTCTGCAATGAATGGTGCAGAGCACTCTGCGATAACTGTTCATTGGATAAATAACGAATAGGTTCACCGGCACTGTGTTCTTGATATCATACATCTAAAGGAGCCATTCATTCCAGTGAATATCTTGCAGAGCAGCTTCAAGCTGTTACAGACGACTTTGATATTACGAGCGGAGTCTTTACAATTATTAGAAGCATCGAACAATACAGCAATGCTCGCAGAGTTTGAAATAGGGGCATGCACAAGCGTCATTTCTATACAGCAATGATGGAGCTTTACAGTAAAGGAAGGTGACGTCCGATGCATGGCACACATTATAAACCTTGCAGTTCAAGCAGCTTTAACTATGTTAAAAGCTGTACCATCAGAACAAACGGAATTGTATAGGCTTAAGCAAGGCTTAGCTCATACTCAAGGCTTTGTTCTTAATAAAGAAGAAGTGGCAACGGTTCTTATATCTATGTCTTCTGGAACCATCGAGCATGGAAAGATGCATTGAAAGTACAAGCATCTGCTATGGGTATTCAGGTGGTTTCAATGCCTGTACGATGGAACTCAACATATTATATGCTTGAGAACGCTTTCAAGCTTGAGCAGCCAATCAATGCTTTATGTGCTTCGCAAATGATGGATTTTTGATATTATCATTACATCAATAGAATGGCAAGTGTTACATGGACTAAAGGCGTTCTTTAAGATATTTGTCAAACCAGCAGAGCAAGTTCAAGCAGATAATTATCCAACGTTGAACGTCTGTATTCCACACTATCTACGGCTTTTAAATAAGCTTAAGGCAATGGAAAACGCTCCATCAACAACAGCAGCAATTAGCGCAGCTTATAAAGCGTCATATAATAAGCTTGATACTTATTATAACCTTGTGACAAATCAAGGCTCAAGCCACTCGTCAATTGCTACTATCTGCGACCCAAGATTCAACTTGTCACGGTTCACCAAGGCATAGGGCGCCAGTTGGGTATTATGAATTAAACTCAATCTAGAGAAGAAAGGAAAGAGAAGAGGAACACTCGAGAAGTGGCTCGATCTATATACAGCTATGTTGTGGTAGAGTGAATTCTCTTTAGTGAGACCAGTTCTGAGAATTCACTCCACAACTGAAAGCTTCGCTCCAACCCCAGAAAGCTCCCCACATCCCTAAAACCCCACTCGAGCTGCAAGGCGCACTTGATATCATAACACTACCCCCCCTACTCCAGAGTTGATCTCCTGATCAAGAAATCCCATTTTCAAAAAAATTGTCTCCAGCTCTCATTTTGGTTTCTGAGGGTATTTTCTGTGATATGCTTGGGTAACTTCTGGAGAATTTTGAAGCTCTCTGCAGTATACCATGTCTCGTCCGGTGGATAGTTCTTCCAAGCTGCCTTGTAGAAAAGCTTTTTTCGAATAACTTTTGAGTCGAGGATTTCGTCCACTTCCCACTCCTCTTCGCCATTGACGGTGACTGGAGGCTCTGGTTCCTGTTGCTGCCCTTTGATTGCATCATTCGAGTCGAGTCTTAATAGATTGGCATGAAAGACTGGATGAATCTTCATGCTGTTTGGAAGTTTGAGCCGATATGCAACTTGCCCAATTCGCTCTAGAATTTCAAAAGGTCCCACTTGCTTGTGGTCTAGCTTCTTTGATGGCCTCTGTGTCTTTATATTTCGAGTTGAAAGCCATACTCTGTCTCCCACTTGATAGCGTGGTGCAGGTTTCCTTTTCTTGTTTGCGAAATGTTCCATTTTTGCTTGCGAGAGCGTGATTTCATCCTGCAGAAACTCCCAAACCTTTGCCATCGTCTGAGCTATGTTCTTGTGCTCTTGTTTGGCTTCGTGATATGCTTGCTGCTCTGTATCGAAGCTCATTCTTGGTTCATAGCCCTTGTTCGCAAAAAACGCACTTGTCTTGGTTGCATCTGATGGCAAACTGTTGGCAGCAAACTCCACCATGCACAAGTATGAAACCCAATTGTCTTGAAGATAGTTCACATGAGCTCGCAAGTAGTGTTTGAGCTCTGCATTGAATCACTCAGTCTGTCCATCTGTTTCTGGGTGGAAGGCAGTTGAAAGTTTGGCCGAAAATTTTTCAAATTTTGCAGAGCAAACTCCAGACTTCTGCAATGAACTGAGGACCTCTGTCTGATATTATCGAGTTTGGTAGACCATGGTGCTTCCATACATGTCGAAGTAAGAGCTGTGCTGTAGCTTCTGCAGTAGTCCCTTCTTGCCCAGCAAAACACGGAATGAAATGTCTTTCTTTCGTCAACCTGCATGCAACAACCAAGATAGCATTGTTCCCTTCACAGAGTGGTAATCCTGTCACGAAATCCATTGATATATCAATCCATGGTCGACTGTCAATAGGGATTGGTTGTAGAAGTCCATTGTAGGCATCTCGATATGGTTTCGATCTTCGATAACTATAGCAATTTTTGACATATCGAATTATTGTTTTGTCCATGTTTGGCCAGTAATAGTGCTGTTTCATGACTCGCAGCATCTTTCCAGCTCCTGGATGTCCATAGAAGGTTGTTCATGAACTTCTCTCAACAAGTCCACCTGAATGGTTTCTGGCACCCAAACTCGATTTTATATTCTAGCATGACGTTTTTGAGTTCGCAATAAGCCAATGCAACCTCTTTGCTGATCACCAGATCGAACAAGCAAAGGTTCACCAATGGCCTCATGATGCTGGAGTAATTTCGGATGAACCTTCGATAGAAATTGCAGAATCCAATGAAAGCTTGCATATCCCTGAGCGATTTTGGAGTTCGCCATTCCAATATAGTAGAAACCTTTGCAGGGTCCATGCGAATGCCATTGACTCCCACGATGAGTCCTAGGAATTTGGTTTCTTGGACAAAAAACTCACATTTTGAGATATCTGCTTGCAGTCCAGCTTCTTGAAGCTTCTGTAGGACTTTCCTTATGTGCTCTGTATGCTCTGCTCGAGTAGCACTGTAGATAAGAATGTCATCCATGTATGCGGTGACGAATTGGTTGAGGTAATCCATGAGGGTTTCATTCATGTACCTCTGGAATGTTGCTGGACCATTTGTGAGTCCGAAGGGCATGACCTTGTATTTGTAGGATCCAAATCGAGTTCTGAATGTAGTGAGGTCTTCATCTTCTTCTGTCTGCATTCGAATTCGATTGAAGGCATGTCGAATGTCCAGTTTGGTGAGATATTTTGCTCCTATGACTTGGGCCAGCGTTTCATCAATGAGTGGTATGGGATATCGATCCTTTTTCGTTATGGCATTTAGCTTCCTGTAGTTGACACAGAATCGAAGATCACCACCTGGCTTTCTCACAAACATAATGGGTGAGGAGTATGGGGCTTTGCTTGCTTCAATGAACCCTTTTGGCAAGTGCTCGAAGACATATTCTTCAACCAAATCAAGTTCTTCCTTTGACATATTCGAGAGTGGTGCATATCCCAGCTTTGCATCACCTTTGAGTTCAATATGATGGTCTGAAGGTCGATGGGGAGGTAGCTTGTCTGCTGCCATTTTCGAAAAAACATCCAAAAATTCATGAAATTCCTTTGGAAGGATCAGTCGAGGGTCAATTTCTTCAGTTTTGGTCTTATTCTTGTGCTCGATTATGTCCTTCATTGATATAGCAAAGACTTGAGCTCCTTTTTGCTTCATGAGCATTCGAAATGGTGCTGCACCAATCATTGCTATGGTGCAAGGTTTTGGTTTTTCCACTTTCAGAGCAGGTTCTGGGGAGGCATTTCTTTGGCTTTCTTCTTTGGCCTTTGTCTTTTGCTTTTCGATATAGGCTCTGTTTTGAGGGCTCGATCTGGTATAGAATGAGGTTGCAATAATCTCCAGTGAAGAGGACTTGATCATTGATCATATCGAGAACAACTCCATGTTGCTTCATCCAAGCTTTCCTGAGAATGATGGAATGTTTTCCTAGCGAAGTGATGAATAATGGACATAGGCTTTCCTCATGCTCTCCCACTTGTAGTCGAGGATATATAGCATGTGTGATAGCAGGGGCAGCCTCTCCATTAAATCCTTCAACTTGTTTTGGCTTCACAAGTTCGACTGGGGCTATCCCTTCGATTTCACATATTCTTTCTGCATCAGCAGCATTAATGAAGTTCCCACCTGTGGCACCAGTATCGATCAATGCATGGACAATAGTTTTGTATTTTCCCATTCTACAAATAACTAAGAAAGGGGTGTCCGGATCAAAACTAGATCTTGAGGAAGAAGCTGCAATTCTGGCTGCACTACCTCTAGTGATGACTTGCCTAGAGGCTATTTTTTCCGAATCAATGATAGACTCAGCTGTAGATACCTCATTCACTTGAGCTTTGAGCTTCTGGTGACAGTCTTGAGCTCGATGTCCATTTTGTTGGCATATAAAGCATTTCCCAAGTTTCATGAGCATTTCTTTTGCTGGATCTTGATGCAGTGGTCGATACAGCTTCTGTGTCTTGTTTTGCATGTTCAAATCCATTGTAGGTTGAGGGACTGAAGTTCGAAGTAGTGCCTGGCCCTGATTTTGAGTTTGGCCCATGTTGTTCAAAAATGACTTTGGCTTCCTTTTTTCTTCTTGTTCCTTGATCCGCTGAATGTTCTGGTCGATGAGCATGCATTTCTTTGCAAACTCGTGAAGTGTAGTAGCTCCAACTTCAGCCACTAAGGCTTTCTGCATCTGTTGGTTGACTTTGAAGGCAAAGTTTCTTCAGAGTAATCAAGCTCTGTCGTGAGCCTTTGGAACTCGGCCCAGAACACTGCAAAGGTGTTGTTTCTCTGATACAGCTTCCGATACTCAGTTTGAGCTGTGTGCCTTTGATCGGGATCACTGAAGACTTTTTTCCAAAAGTTCGAGAATTTCTTCTGCTGTCTGCAGTTTGTTTGTAGAGTTTGGTCGAAGCCTTGGATTGACATGTCGAACTGCCAGTCCTCCCAGTTGACTCTGAATGTAGCTCATTTGTAAAGTCTGTGTTGGAAAATGATCAATGTTGGCTTCGAGCTTGAGGCAAATTTTCACAACCCAGTCTTCAAATGCTGGCTCTATCCCATCTGTGAGGATTGGAGGGTCTGGAATCCGAGCTGACAGTTGACTGTAAGAGTGGTGTCCTGGTTCATTCTTCAGAGCTTGTTGGGTTTGCTTTTCAAGATATTTCTGAATTGTTTGTTGCTCAGAGATTTGTTGCTCGTTGCTCTGGATCAGTTCCTGTAACTGGAGAATGGCATCATCCTTTTCAGCCAGTATCGAATTCGAATCCTCTGCTAGGGCCAAATAGTCCTGAAGAATGTTCTTGTGCAAAGTCCATGCCATTTTCTGGTTGGTGACAGATAGTTTCTGGAGTTCGTCAAAGGTTTCAACATTCCATTCAGCCTTTTCATGTCGATTTGCAAGTATAGATTCACGTCTCTCTTGAGCTGTTTTGCCCAGAGTGTGAAGGAAGGTTTCAGATTTGAAATTAGGATCATGAGGTTCATCGGTTTGGTTTGCAGAACTTGGAATTGATGCTCCTTCTGCCAGGGATTCCTGGTCTTGTTCCTATTTGTATTCTAAAACCCATTGATTGTGTATCATCGGAGTTTTGCAGAATATTTTGCCTCTGTATGTGAGGCATTCAGTCTTCGTGTTCCAGTGCACGCCTTTCTTGATGAATCGGCGCAGTGATGTGACTGATGTATGGAAAGTGGAGACAAGGGCTGTTTCCTCAAGAGCGATAGTTATTGGTTGACCATTGCTATTTTGAACATCAATGTTCACGGAACCAAATCCTTCAATTATCACCCGTTGATCTCCTGTGAGGAGATATGTTCACTATCACACTTTTTGAATTTGTGGAATTTTGCACGGTCATTGCAGACATGCACCATGGCTCCAGAATCAAGGATTGTACTTCGTGCAAGCTCATAAGTTGATGATGGCTTTTGCGACACTTGAAATGCTGGGAACACGGCTGTGAGTGCCGTGGGGTTTGTTGTACTGTCTTGCAGACTGTTGTCCCCTGATCCATTCTAGCTCAAGTAGTTGGAAATTATAGACTGGAAAGATGGTCTTTCTGCAATGTAGTTCCGCACTTTCATCTCAGTTTCTTTTTTAGGTTTTCATCCACTGTGTCTTTTTGATTCAACAATGTAATAACAATCTCTCCATTTGTGTTTTGATCCACATGGACATCGTCTAGCAGAAGTATTTCTATTTGTGTGGCCTTGTAGTGTTGCAGGTTCATTGTCATTGCTGTCTGTTGCTGCAAAGACTCTGTCACTACTTTCTCCACTATTATCCATTGTTGCGAAGACTCCATGCTCCCCCCGAGGTTTCTGTCAGAATTGTGTTTGCCGACAGTAAGCTCTATACTCAGTGATTACTTGCATGAGAGAATATGTCATTGACTCGTCGATGAGTCTCATATCACAGACAAATGGTGGTGACGAGGAAGAGATTGCACCTAAAAAGTCAAAGATCGGTGTATGTCCAATGACTTCAGCAACTTGTAGCTTGCGACCAACTTCAAAAATTGTTTCCCACTGGAGAAGCCAATCATCGACAGTTGACCTCTTTGGTATCTTTTGCAATGTTCTCCACTCACTCTTCCATTCTTCGATTCTACCACAGTCGGTAGGTGCGAAGCGTGTTTTCAGATTCACAAGCATCGCGTGTGCTGAATCACAGCCATATGTATATTGGAGGAAGTCCCGTTTGATTGACTCTTGTATTTTTGCGCAGATGCCTTGGATGGCTTCCTCTTGTTTCTCTCACATCTTACAATCATGTTGGTAATCGTCTTTTAGGTTCTGAAGTTCTTCTTTTTGATCTTTGGTCAAACTCGCATATGTGATTGGCATCAGTTGCGAGGAAAGTTGTTGTTGGTCTTCAACAGACTGCTGAGGTTGCTGTGCAGAGGATCGTCCTCTTGTTGCCACACCTGCGGGTGCTTGCTGCGAAGATGAATATGTTGCAAACCCTTGGCCTGCCTGTGCTGCGGCATGCACAAAGCTAGGGGCAGGACGAGTAGGTGGCTCTAGAATAGGAGGATTAATATTGTTCGGGTCAATATACCTCCATACTCCAGCTTTCATTGATGTTGTTTTTATTGTCTCGATCCATTCATCCCAGTCTTTGGGAGATGTAAGGACCACCCCTACCCTATTTACTGTTGCCATTATGATGGTGTCTAGGGTGTACGTAGGCTCTGTGATTGTATATATTGATCAATTTAGCGACTTGGAGTTACTCCGGGCTCATAACTGTTGAGTAAATTCGATGTATTCGATACTGACTAAATAAGAGGCTCCAAGCCGCAAGGGCAGAGTTTTTCGTGGTTCTACGTGTGGTCGCTTACTGTAGCCCCTGTATATTACAACATATTAAGTTGGGCAAAAGTTTTATATACCCTGCATTTGACGTGATAAGTTTTATATACCCTACATAATATGAAACTGTAATGGTGGGTGCACCAGATATGAGAATCTAGCCACCCAAGGAAGGGATGAATTTACTAAGACAACACACTGTCTTAGGAAACAGAGCCAAAGGGTTGTAGCTTAGACTATTCCACAACGCAGCAATCAGGTGTATGATGTGGTGAAGTGGTTTAGACAAGTTGCAACAAATGTTGAGTCTGAGAACTCAGGGGTAAGTCAGAGGTTAGCACCTCACTGACTTTTCAAAAACAGAGAATAACAAGATCAATGCTTGGAAGCTTGGAAAAGACGTAGAAGTATGTGCTAGTCGATTTACTGTATTGCCTGCTTGCCCTTTCTTAAGGAAAGGGCAATCCTATTTATGCCAAAGGAGTGTAGTTCTCTCATTTTCCATGACTTTCCATGACTAACCAGGCTTGGTAAATGTATTAGAAATCAAGTGCGACCCACAACTAGCTTGCTAATCATGTAGTGAACGTAAGAGAATCCCATAGAACCATCTCTTGGGTTCCTAGCCTATAGGAAGTGAAAAGGAGGTCCAAGGTCAGAGTACCTATAGATAAATTATGTCATAACTTAACCAATCTTGTGGGTAACTAAGGAGCGATGACGTGTAATGAATCATAGAGGGTTGTAGAAGCTTCTAGAGCTATCGTTCATGTTCCTAGGCCTCTAGTTGGTAGATATATGCCATGTGGTAGTATTGGCCCACCCCCTTAAGGATGAGATTTTCTTAATAACTTGTTCAATGAGTGTTCAAATGATATGCCGTGATGTATGTAGCATAAACAGATGTAGTAGAAGAGTTTGCAGCAATCGTTGAGTAGTATTGCTTCTGTTGTTGGTGTGATAAGCCAAGATATGTATGGTGACTTGTAGGTTTGAGGAGGAGATTTCTAAGTTTGCTCTTGAGTTTGATAGCAAACTGAGTGCAACGAATGTCAGTATGACAGAAACCCCCTGCGACCAGTAAAAACCCCCCAATTCCCCCCCCGTAGCCTCCCGTAGCCCCCTCGCCGTCGCCCCCTCGCTGTCGCTCCTTTTGATGGCCTCATTCGGCCCAGTCGTTAAGGGCTCTCGACCAGGCGTCTAGGTCGAGGTAGAGCTGACCGTTCATAGGAACGGTCAGCTCGCCAAGAGAAGCCATCCTCGTGGGCCTGAGCTGAGCTCAGGACTTCCGATGCCTCGCGATTCCGAAGAGTCGTCGAGTGCCTCAGTGAGGGCAGCGGCTAGCGAGTCAGCTGGGACAGCAAGGAGGGCGACGGCGAGGGGGAGCAACCGTGAGGGAGGCAACGCGAGGGAGGGAGGCAACGCGCCGAGCGCGTTGAGTGGTTTCCTGCTTAGTAAGAATCACCATGGTATATAAAACTTATTTATGAACTTACCGGGTATATAAAACTTTTGCCCTATTAAGTTATCCATGTTATCCACAGCGATCCACAGAATGTCATGTGATGGATAACATTGGATATCTTGGATATTATGTTATCCATGTTATCCACGGGGATCCATGGAATATCAGGTGATGGATAACATTGGATATCATGGATATTATGTTATCCATGTTATCCACAGATATCCCTTTGGCACGACGCCACTATATAAGTAGATAGTATTTTCTTAGATAGGAGCTTTGTGCTCAACTCAATATAGTATTCTTTACAATACTGTAACGTGTTACTTGGAAAGCCTTTGTGTTTAATCCCCTGCCTCCTCTGTCAAGTCAACCTTACGCAAGAAACCTCTGTGTCTTCTATCGTTTAGAAGTCAGCGTTACACCATGCTGCTATATAGAACAACTTCTTCTGTAGGTGTTTAGAATCAAGGATTTCTTCAACTTCCCATTTAAGTTCATCTTCTATGATAATAAGAGATAATTAGAGGTGGTGGTTCATGGTGTTAGCCTCGTAATGCATCATTTGAATCAAGTCTTAACAAGTTGCTATGAAAAACAGGATGTATCTTCATACTTGCTAGTAGTTCTAGCCGATATGCCACTTGTCTAATTTGTTCTAGAATCTTAAATGGACCAATGTCATACTGACATTCGTTGCACTCAGTTTGCTATCAAACTCAAGAGCAAACTTAGAAATCTCCTCCTCAAACCTACAAGTCACCATACATATCTTGGTTTATCACACCAACAACAGAAGCAATACTACTCAACGATTGCTGCAAACTCTTCTACTACATCTGTTTATGCTACATACATCACGGCATATCATTTGAACACTCATTGAACAAGTTATTAAGAAAATCTCCTCCTTAAGGGGGTGGGCCAATACTACCACATGGCATATATCTACCAACTAGAGGCCTAGGAACATGAACGATAGCTCTAGAAGCTTCTACAACCCTCTATGATTCATTACACGTCATCGCTCCTTAGTTACCCACAAGATTGGTTAAGTTATGACATAATTTATCTATAGGTACTCTGACCTTGGACCTCCTTTTCACTTCCTATAGGCTAGGAACCCAAGAGATGGTTCTATGGGATTCTCTTACATTCGCTACATGATTAGCAAGCTAGTTGTGGGTCACACTTGATTTCTAATACATTTACCAAGCCTGGTTAGTCATGGAAAGTCATGGAAAATGAGAGAACTACACTCCTTTGGCATAAATAGGATTGCCCTTTCCTTAAGAAAGGGCAAGCAGGCAATACAGTAAATCGACTATCACATACTTCCACGTCTTTTACAAGCTTCCAAGCATTCATCTTGTTACTCCTTGTTTCTGAAAAGTCAGTGAGGTGTTAACCTCTGACTTACCCCTGAGTTCCCAGACTCAACATTTGTTGTAACTTGTCTGAACCACTTCACTACATCACACACCTGATTGCTGCGTTGTGGAATAGTCTAAGCTACAACCCTTTGGCTCTGTTTCCTAAGACAGTGTGTTGTCTTAGTAGAATCATCCCTTCCTTGGGTGGCTAGATTCTCACATCTGGTGCACCCACCATTACAACCAACTTATAATCAAGCTTTTTAGATGGCCTCTAGGTTTTGATATTTCGAGTAGATAGCCATACTCTGTCTCTAATTTGATATCTTAGTGAAGGTTTTCTGTTCCGGTTCACTATAGTCTCTATCTGAGATTGAGAGAGTGTAATTTGATCTTGTAGAAATTCCCAAATATCTTTCATGCTTTAAGCTATGTCCTTATGTTCTTGTAAGGTAGTTTGGAACTCGCTATTCTCTATATCGAAGCTCATTCTTAGCTCAAAACCCTTGTTTGCAAAAAATGGGCTAACTTTTGTTAAGTCTGATAGAAGAGCATTTGCTGCAAATTCTGCAATGTAGAGGTATCCAACCTAGTTGTCTTGTAGGTAGTTAACATGAGATCGTAAGTATCGTTCTAGCTCTATATTAACCCTGTTAGTCTAGCCATCTGTTTTAGGGTGGGATGCTGTAGATAGTTTTGTTATGATTTTCCAAACTTTGCATAAGACTTTCTATACTGTAGCCACAAACTAGGGGCCTCTGTCTGAAATAATTGAATTTGGCAGGCCATGGTGTTTCCATATATGCTAGAGCAGTAACTATGCTGTGGCTTCTGCTATAGTGCCTTCTTGACCTAGGAATCACGGAATGAAGTGACGTTCTTTTGTTAATCGACAAGCTACAACAATGATAGCATTGTTTCCTTCACATAATGGTAATCCTATAATGAAATCAAGTGATATATGTCCTTCCATGGTTGGTTTCTAACAGGAATTAGTTATAGAAGTCAATTATATGCGTCTCTTATAGGTTTTGACCTTTTGTAGATATGGCAGTTTTTGATGTATTAGATGATAGTCTTGTCCATTCGAGGCTAGTAGTAATACTGCCTTTTAACAACTCGCATCATCTTCCTAACCCCTAGATGTCCCATTGCTAGTTAGTCATGGACTTCTTATAGAAATTCTACCTAAACGCTTTCTAGTACCTATATTCGGTTTTGATAATATAGAAGCCCTTCTTTCGCCTCGTAGGCGGCTAGAGCTATGTCTGGACTATTCCATTCGTTGTTCTGTAGTCTTTAGAGTGTGTTGGTGCATAGTGGATCTTGTAGCTATACAGCTCGGATATTGTTGTAGATGCTTGATCTTGCTGTAGAATCGGTGCTAATTGAGCATCTTGTGTAAGGACACAGGGCACCCAGCTCACAGTAATAGCATATGAGAGTGCGAGTCGGAGGCTAAACGGATGCTATCCTATAGATCTACTACGAAGGATACAAAAAAGATGATGAGGAACCCCGTTGGGTCAATTTCCTTAAGTACCCGAAACGGGTCCGACTTGGCTAACCTGCCCTAACTCTCCCCACGTGACCGTAACCTGCCCGACTCCGATCCCTTCCATCACTGAGGGCGGAGGCATCCTTACATCTTGTGTCTGCTCTTGACTTCAGAGTTCTATCTACTATACTAGTTCTAGGTGTAGTTTTGTCATTAGTAGCATTGTTTAAAGCTGCTGCTTTTGTCAGTCGTCCTCCTCATTACCTTCTAGTTGATCCCCTAGCCTACAAGTAAGGGCATCTGCTTTCCCATTCTGTTTGCCAGGTTGGTATGCAATTTGAAAGTTGTAACGAGAGAGAAACTCTGCCTAACGAGCTTGTCGCCTAGTAAGCTTCTTAGTGCTCATAAAGTACTCAAGGCTCTTGTGGTCTGATAGGACTTGGACTGGCATTGCTCTGCCTTCAATCTCTAGTCTCCATGTTTCAAAACACTGAATAATTGCAAAGAGCTCCTTGTCATAGATCTTGTAGTTGCATTCTGCAGGTTCCATTTTCTTAGAGAAGAAGGCAACTAGATGTAGGATTCCCTTGTCATCTTTCTATGACAGTACCCTAGAGAAAATAAAATCTAAGGCATCAGCTTTAACATAGGCTGTCTTCTCTCTTGAGGTGGGAGCTTGTCTATAGCCTGTTTTAAGAACACATCGAGATATTTATGGAACTCCTTTAGGAGGATCAGTTTTGGGTCAATTTCCTTTTTTCCTCCTTTGCTTGTTTAGCAAGTATATCTTTAAATGATATTGCAAAAACCTTAGCTCCTTTCTGCTTCCGAAGCATATTAAATGGTGCAGCTCTAATCATTGTAACAGTGTTCTTACCTACCTACAGAATAGGAAGAAATCAAATTGTCATACAAGCCTTAATGGATATCAGTGCAACAGGTGGAAGCTTTGTGAATGCTGTTGATGCAAAATGAATTTGTGAAATTGAAAACATCTCTCCTATTAAACTTATAAAACCAAAGAACATTAAAGGATTTAATGGAGCTGCTACACCTATAGTCACACATGCTATATACCCTCGACTACAAATTAGAGACCATGTTAAAAGTCTATGCCCTCTATTTATCACCACTCTTAGGAAACATTCTATTATTCTTAGGAAAGCTTAGATGAAGCAACATGGAGTTCTGCTTAATATGGTCAATGATCGAGTCATGTTTACTAAAGGTCATTGCTAGCACACTACACTAACAAATACTCAAAAACTAGAAACTACATGTCCCTAAGTTGATAAGCAAATCGAAGATGGCAAAGCTTACAAGCTAGCCCTCTAACCTCCTTATAAGACAAAAAACACATGCACTTTGTAATGATTAGAGCTGTACCATTTAATATGCTTCGGAAGCAGAAAGGAGCTAAGGTTTTTGCAATATCATTTAAAGATATACTTGCTAAACAAGCAAAGGAGGAAAAAAGGAAATTGACCCAAAACTGATCCTCCTAAAGGAGTTCCATAAATATCTCGATGTGTTCTTAAAACAGGCTATAGACAAGCTCCCACCTCAAGAGAGAAGACAGCCTATGTTAAAGCTGATGCCTTAGATTTTATTTTCTCTAGGGTACTGTCATAGAAAGATGACAAGGGAATCCTACATCTAGTTGCCTTCTTCTCTAAGAAAATGGAACCTGCAGAATGCAACTACAAGATCTATGACAAGGAGCTCTTTGCAATTATTCAGTGTTTTGAAACATGGAGACTAGAGATTGAAGGCAGAGCAATGCCAGTCCAAGTCCTATCAGACCACAAGAGCCTTGAGTACTTTATGAGCACTAAGAAGCTTACTAGGCGACAAGCTCGTTAGGCAGAGTTTCTCTCTCGTTACAACTTTCAAATTGCATACCAACCTGGCAAACAGAATGGGAAAGCAGATGCCCTTACTTGTAGGCTAGGGGATCAACTAGAAGGTAATGAGGAGGACGACTGACAAAAGCAGCAGCTTTAAACAATGCTACTAATGACAAAACTACACCTAGAACTAGTATAGTAGATAGAACTCTGAAGTCAAGAGCAGACACAAGATGTAAGGATGCCTCCGCCCTCAGTGATGGAAGGGATCGGAGTCGGGCAGGTTACGGTCACGTGGGGAGAGTTAGGGCAGGTTAGCCAAGTCGGACCCGTTTCGGGTACTTAAGGAAATTGACCCAACGGGGTTCCTCATCATCTTTTTTGTATCCTTCGTAGTAGATCTATAGGATAGCATCCGTTTAGCCTCCGACTCGCACTCTCATATGCTATTACTGTGAGCTGGGTGCCCTGTGTCCTTACACAAGATGCTCAATTAGCACCGATTCTACAGCAAGATCAAGCATCTACAACAATATCCAAGCTGTATAGCTACAAGATCCACTATGCACCAACACACTCTAAAGACTACAGAACAACGAATGGGATAGTCCAGACATAGCTCTAGCCTACTACGAGGCGAAAGAAGGGCTTCTATATTATCAAAACCGAATATAGGTACTAGAAAGCGTTTAGGTAGAATTTCTACAAGAAGTCCATGACTAACTAGCAATGGGACATCTAAGGGGGGGGGTAGTGTTATGATCACTGCTTACGGCTACTAGCAATTAGGGTAACAAGTACCTATATTAGCCACTAAGGTTACAGTGAACCGCTAAGCGTACAGCTGTATATAATGAGGGATAGCCTTACTTCCTTCCTTTCTTCTTCTTCTCTCTTTAGATTCAATCTAGCTTATTATTCTCTAGACTGGCTTCTTGACCTCTGTGACCATCATAACAGATACTTTCAAACCTCAAACTATCATTCATGCTTTCCAAAAGGCAGGAATGTGGCCTATGAATAGTGTAGTTTCTCTTGTGAAAATCTAGAAAAACTCAAAGCCATTACAAGAGAATGAAACACAACCTTTGCTACCTACGTTAAAGAATTTAGAGAAGCAACTTCAAGTATGGAAAGATAAGTTTACTCCATTGTTAAGTAGCCTGTCAAAACAGCAATTTCATACTTGATTACAAGGGATAGAGGGAGTATTAGCAGATGCTTAAATATGAGAGTTTGATTATTCTATGCTACAAGGACAAGTTCAAGGGAGTCAAAATCGCAAAAGCAGAAGCCATCGTACACTTCAATTTAGGGGTGCTTTAACTGCAGCTTATGCACATGCTAGGATTCATCAAAAGGCACAAAAGGAGGTTAACAAGCAAGAGAAGCAAGTTGCTAGAATAGCAGAGGCAGAAGCATCACAAGCAAAGAAGGCTTTACATCGAGCTGGGATTAAAGCACAGAAGAGAGAGCGAGAGCGAAAGGAGGAGGTTGCACAGCTTCTTTGAGTAAAAGAGTTTATAGCAATTGAGCTCTCGACTCCCATTCTTGATCCAGAGGCACAAGCAAAGGCACAAGCACAAGCAGAAGCAGAAGCAGAAGGGGTAGTTGGGCAAATAGAGGTAGTAGATATAATAGGAGATAATGGTTCTGATGAAAGTGATGAGGAGAGTGTAGTTTTCACGTTGCAGAATAAATGAGAAGACACACCTTTCTATATAATTTTCTATGTGAAGATACCTACTTATTTTGCCGTGAGAGGGGACACTCGCTTCCTCTGACTGTGAGCGAAGCGAACAGGCGGTCCCGAGATTATATCTGTGTAAAGTCGACGACTGCCAAGCCCACACCTGCACCTGCACCTGCACTGCACCTGCACCTGCAAACCTAAACCTGCACCTGCAAACCTGCACCTGCACCACCTCACCTCCCTTCCCACAAACCCGGGCTTGCGAGCCCCCTGCCGCTTCCTCACCGGTGTGGAGACACCCTCGCACACCATCCTGAGTACGGTAAGCGAACCATCGCACCCACCTACACCACCCACACACTTGCACTGCGTAAATCGTGCTCGTGCGAGCCTCAAGGGCAAGGGGACGGCTAGGGGGGATGGGATGGTTATTCTGCCGCTAAAGCGCTAAAGGAATACAGTAGTACTTCAGCACTACGTACAGTAGAGTATGGATGGTAGGTACATCGTTGCTGTGAAGTGCCTGCCTTATTATTATTAAAAAGTGAACCGCCAACCCACCGCCAACCCACCGCCAACCACCGCCAACCACCGCCAACCCACCGCCAACCCACCACCAACACACACAATTCACTTCGACGGGCCTATAACTGCCCTGGCCCGTACTCTATGTACATCCTCGCCGGCCCGTACTCTATGTACATCCTCGCCGGCCCGTACTCTATGTACATCCTCGCCGGCCCGTACTCTATGTACGTACTCGCCGGCCCGTACCCCATCCAACAACCAAACCACCACCAGGTCTGGTGCCCAAAACAACTAGCCGTAGCCCACAGCCCGGCTCGTTTAGTGATTCCGTAGTTGAATCTCCGAAATTAACCCACCATTAGCGAGAAAGGCCGTCAAGATTCAGATCTCCTCTCTCGGTACAGTAGTAGTCCATGCTCAGGTGCCTATTTTGGGCCGCCCGCCTTTGTCTTAACCCGCAACGTCCGAGGTACACAGATGTTCCTCTGCGTGTTTCGGTCCCACGGGTTGGACGGAAGAGGCGATCACGGCGGCCGCGCTGGCGGGATGAAGCAGCGCTGCGTGCATCGTCAGGCGCCTGCCAAGGCTGGCGATTCTGCCTGCGCCGACGCCCCGAGCAAGACTTTCATGGCGTCCTTTGGCGGTGCTTGAGCCTCCCTGCATCGTGTATGGCCGGCGACGGGCGATGGGGTTCAAGAGTGCTTGTGTCAGGAGGCAGCGATGAAGCATGAAGCAAGTCTGGTATGGTATGATATGACGCTTGCATGCTTGGCGCCGACCATTCCTGTCCTGTCACGCGGAGCCAATGGAAGGAAGAGAAATATCTCCATTGTCTAACTCGGGTTAGCAAGGAGGGGTGGTGGATTTGCTGAGGAGACGCCGTTTAAGCTGTTGGTTGGCAGGGTGGAGTGACGAGCCTCGTCTCCTGTTCTGTTTTCAACTTCTTTGACCGAACTACACCTGCGATGACGATGCTAGTTTGACTAGTTTGACTTGTGGGACTAGTTTGACTAGTTTGACTAGTTTGACTTGTGGGTACTTCTGCAGATCGGTGTCTATCCCTTACTCAGAATGGCAACCACAGGCAGGACGTGATGCTGGTGTTGGCATTGGGGCGTTGGCATTGGCGTTGGCGTTGTGTTACCCATACTATATGTATGGCTCAGGTAACTTTCCTACCATAGTAGTTGTTAGGTAGTACACATACTGTATCCGTATCCAAGACTGCAGCAAGTATTTCTTTCGCCGCCCATAGCCGCATCACCCCCCACCCCTATAATTCGTATCAGCTGTATTGGGATCCCTCAACAGCGTCGTCATGAACAAGGGCGAACGAACGAAGGAAGCCGCCACTGTGGCCACCACCGCATTGCATCCTGGACGCACTGAGTACACGCCGAACACGCTCCGTGCCACCGACTCTTCTCACCCATTTGCTTCTTCTTCCGAACTTCCGAACTGACCCCATGATGCACCGTGCGGATCACTTGATCTGCACGGTGCAGGTTCGGCAGGGAAGGCGTATGGTGTAGTCGAGTAGGGCCTTTTCCCCACCGCCCCAACTTTTCCCTCTTTCCCTCTTTTCCTCTTTCCCTCTTTCCCTCTTTCCCTCTTTGCCGCTTCCCCTTACCGAATGACGCTCCCAAGCCAAGGCGCTCCCGAAGTCCAAGGGTCCACACAGTCCACACTCAGCATCACTTCACGCGCGCGCGCCCACACGCTGTTCCTCATCCTACATACCCCTGGTACTTCGGTGGAAGCGGTAGTTTAGGTATGTGTGGTATGTATTTTTTGTAGCGTCTGTTCTTGTAGTCCCGTCAGTATGAGAGTACGAGTATGGAGGAGGGGAGACTGTTGTCACCTATAGAGACACTACTCGTAGTCGTTCTGTAGTGGTCAGTAGCCGTCTTGTACATACATAGTGTAGCAGCGTAGAAGCCATTCTGTAGCGTAGAGTGTAGATATATGAGTGTATGTAGCTATGTCTGAACACGGTAAAGGTAAAAGGGTTGTTGAGTCGTACGTCAAAAACCATCATGCCCGCGTCTGTCTGTAACCTCCCCTCCCACCCACCGGCTTCCCACTAAATGCCCACACTACCACCAGCAACCCGCCTCCACAGGGACAAGACCCAGAACAGACACACCTACAGGCACCACCCCAACTGCCCGTCACTACTTCTTAGAAACCTACCCCATCCCCTCCACTCACACACCTACAGTGCGCCAGAAGGCAGGCAGCCACCATCACTCACGGCTTTCTTCCCAACTGCTTCTCCCATCCTTCTCTACCTTCATCCACAATCCAACCTTCAACCTTCTTTTCAGTATCCCACGTCCACATCTTCTCCCAATCCCAGCTCGACCTTCTCTACGCCGAGACATACACCCATACGACATACACGACAACACGCAGAGACATCCAGCATCCAGATATACAAGCGACTCCCGACATTGAGCCCAACTTCCATTCCAACTTATATCACGCCTCTTCAACCCCAAATATTACTGGCCTTCAAACACACCCTCCCAACTGGCCCACTATCCTGAAATCCCCCCCCCCCCCCCCCCCGGGCCACCAAAACCACCCCAGACTCACACATGAGTAACCCTCACCGATCCCATATCACAGACCGGACGCCAACGCCCTGTGCAGCAACACAGCAAGCACTCTCTCCGTCCCATCTCTAAATCCGTCACCGCACCAGCATGACGACAACAGCACAACACAGCACCAGCAGCACGACCGCCCGTGAGCCCCCCGACACAGCAGTTACCTCCTCCGCCTCCTCCTCTCCCGCCTCGCCGCGGCGCCTCTCCCAAGGGGGCCCACCCGCAACAGACAGCGACGCCGCGTCCTCCGCGTCCACAGCCACAAGACCCAAGATCGGCACGAGAAAGAGCAGCGGGACTATCATTGTGCCGCGCGATGCACCGAATGTTGAGCTAAAGAAGGGCGAGGAGGTGTTCGATGAGGACGATGCTAGGGCCATGAGCCCGAGGAGGAACAGCGAGGATCTGGAGAAGATGAGCCAAGAGGCTAGAGCACAGCTTTCACAGTCAGTCCTTGCCCTGCCCCTTCTCCCCTGCTGCAGGATTTATATTTTTGTCACCTTTCCTCCCCAAAACCTAAAAATTACACTCTAACCCCTTGTTCCTAATTTAGACACGCGAAGCTCCTCCAAGAATCGCTTCTCGAGATCTACAACCGCATAGAGGCGGTCAAGGAAGAGCACGACAAGCTCGACTCGAACAATAAGTTCCTCCAGAAGTACATTGGCGACCTCATGTCCACCTCCAAGATCACCGCTACTGGCTCTGGAAACAGGAAGAAGTAGGAAGCGTAGACGTTGTCGCTCCTGTCTAGCCTTAGCCTGTCCTGGCCCGGCCTGACCTGCCGCCTCCCTGCCATGATGCCCTGATACCACCCATTTTTTTCCCGCCGGCACGCGAAGATATCAAAACTCCACATATTTACATACATACACGCAAGCCCAACCATTTTCGTGTTAGCAAACAGACAGGTGCCGAGGAAGACGGACAAGCGTACAGGCAGGCAAGAAGTCAGACAACGAGACGAACGAGGCGAAACGAACGTGACGGCCGAACAACGAGTCAATAAACTCGAACCCAACTCCAATTCTACATCCAAACAATACCCTACAAATCAAACCGATCCTTACTACACTCATAACACCCACTATCACCACCAAACCCTTCCGCCAAACGTCAGGAATTCGAAAGCATTGCAAACGGCCCATACCAAATGGGGCAACCACCATGAACAAACAACATATATATTTTTTCCTTTTACAGCACCCCTTTGTGGCTTCTCTTGCATCATGGGAGGAACGGGGGAGAAGGGATCAACACATTTTGATTTTATGTTTTTCCTGTTCAAGGGCGCGGCGTTACCTGTGAACATTTTGTTTCTTTTTTTTATATTCCCGGTCCCCTCCTTTTTTTCGGCTTCCATATTTTTTCTTGGGTTTTTTTTGTGAACTTTTAACACACTTCTGGTTTTACTTTCGAACATTCGATTCTGTTACGTAGGGGAGGGGGATAGGGAGGAATAGTGAGCAATGGCGGGAGGAAATGGGAGGCAGGGATTGCAGGAACGGAGAAGGAAAGGGCGAAAGGCAAGGGAAACACGACGATTATAGACCGCACGTGTGTGTATTTTTGAGCGTGGGGGGAGCGGGCGAAGAGAGGCCCCCACAGCAAAATCCAAAGAGAAAGAAAGAAGAACCCCCAAAAAAAGGGAGTGTCAAATCACCCACACAAATCCTTTTTTTATACTACGCAAAACCATCCATTTTCCATCCCTCAAGGCGGCGATGATAGAAGCCCCCACCCCTCATTCTAAGCAATGATCACGAGCAAGGAGCGGACAGGCAGCAAGCAGCAAGGAGCAAAGGGAGAGAGCAGCAAAGGCGGTCGTCAGTGAGGGGCGGCTAGGGAGGTGGGAGGCCCCGACGTGGTGGTGGATGTGAATGGGTGTGAGGGTCAAACTGCGCGCGGTTCTGAATGAATGAAAGTTTGTGTAAGAATAGAAACGATTTTTTTTTGTGGACGCGGACCGATCGACGGATCGGATCCCTATGATACCTCCCAGAGCGATATAGAGCGAGGCAATAAGAAATACAAATAACGAAGAATTCTACCACAAAGTAGTGCAACCCGCCCTCCGAAAACACCCCACTGTAATCCAGGAGAGACTACACCGTCTCCCCTCTTCCTTAATAAAACCCACATCTCTAATTTTGATCGTTTTCCTTATCGAACTTTACGCTAACCAGGCCGAATACCCGTGGGCTGCATTGCTGCCTTTACCAGTCGAGTAGCGTTGAAGAAATCACAGGACATTCGGCAGCTCACCAAGAGCACGTCGCCCTGCCGATCCTTGCGAGATCTTCCTCATTATCGAGTTTTTCGGTTCATCTTCCTGATCGATAGCCTTTACCGATGCAGGCGTGACGACGCGCTGCCTCTTGTGCTCCGCCGCGCTAATCGCCGACGATGGCTGCGAGGCGCCAAAAGTGAAGTTGTTTCCCTCGGATAGAGTTTCTCTTGGAAGCGGGGAATCTTGGGCATTCTCTTTCCTGCTCTTGACACTTCCGGAAATACCAGATTCAGGTACTGTGGCAGGCGTGGTCTGGCCAGCTATAGTCCTGACTATTTTTGCTTCAGCAAATATATCGAGACAAAGAGTATCCAACTTACTAGACCGATGGTCATCTGGCACTTTAGATGCTTTATTTTGAGAAGTTCTGACGTCATCTGAGTCTCCTAAGACGCTCTTTTTGGTGACATTGCTTGGCTTCAGTGCTTCACAGAGGCCTTCGAAAGCACCGATACTTTCCAAGGACTGAAATCGTTGCGGCTCTGGTTTGTTGCTGGAGATAGGGTCCGTGAACTGACGACTATGACTAGCCAGCGAGACTGAACTGGAATAATCCGGCATGGACACGTCTGCCGACGATGGTTGCCGCCACTGAGTGGCTCGGCGCTCCGTGAACGGATCGAAATTGGCAGGGCGAGGGAAAACCGGCAACCCCGGAGGGAGCATCATGCCCATGGCCGGGGGAGGCCTCTGTGGCCGAGCTAAGGAAATGGACCTTCGTCGTGGAGAGTGGCTGTGAGCTTCAACAGCGCCCTCACTGGACTTTCTTGGAACGTTACCACCTGGTAACATTCCTGCAACAAATGAAATGTGGCGCCACATTTCTGCATTTGGCCACGCAATGCTTGAAGATTCGAGAACCTCTTGAAAGGTATCAAGTCAGCCAAATGGTTGATACAAAGTGTCACTCTGTGAGACACTCATGCCACTCATGCGGGAATGATCACGTACCCAAAGGAGCGTGCTGGAACGAAAAGGCCACAATATTCTTGATACGATCAAATGACATTGCTGGCGACTCGCGGTGTAAGCCTTCTGCAATAATGATCTTGATTCGCCCAAGGTCGTCACCTGCATTCCAATAGTTCTGGGAAAGAAGCTCTTGGTGGAATTCAGGAAACCTCAAGGGCTCGAGATCCCCGTTCTTATTAACGTCTAGATAGTTGGCAGGGTCAGTGTGTTCATTTCAAATGTGAGGCAATGGATCTCTGTGGGAGGATGGATGGTAAGCACTCACTTATCCCCGTTTCAATGATTGTTGGCCATGGGCCGTCTCGCCCCAAATATCTGTACCTGTAGCCATCTATGTCAGTACTATTGACCTATACTCGCAACGATGTAGCTCACCCCGCCAGTCGGCCGTCAATAAACACCCGGGCTTCAAACATGATGAGACCTGGCTCCTTGGTGAAGTTGAGCGCAAAGCGACTCGGCTCCGGTGCCTCCCATGAGTGAATCGATAGTCGAAAATTCTGGCCTTGTCCTAGAGCCGGCAGGAATGAAGTGACTGTTGGAAGCAATGGCAGAGTGCCCTGCGTTGGGAGGTATTCTGCGTTGAGGCGGTTAGCCATATCTCCCCTTTGTGGTGGGAATGTAACATCCACGAGTAAAGATGCTATGCCATCATCTGCCTTACCTGAATCTTGGATAACATGGCACGTAGTCTTGAACTCTTGAATCGGAACCTTGGATTTGTCCGAGAACAGGAGGACGTCCCAGTTCTGGTAGCGCATGATGTACTGTGTCCAGCAATAGAGGCACTGGTCTGAATGATGAATGCAGCTTTCCGCGATGTCTAGTCAAACAAAAAGAAGTAAAATCAAGGCTGGAAAAGTAACATAAATGGAGACGCTCATGTAACTGAAGATGGAAAAGGATATCGTCGATCAAGATGAGCCAGGTTATCGTTGAAGGCGTCACGAATTATAACTAAGGGGAAGGACGAACGTCCCCTCGCTCCTTCCGCCTTCGTGCCAGGAGGTAAGGCGAGGAAGGAGCACTCTGACATTTGCCGTAGCAGCATATGCGTAGCTCGGTAGGATGGAAAACCCCAAGATATGAAGAGGGAATGTGTATAGCTCACGGTGATACGAAATTCAAACGTGAAAATTTACCTCCCTGGCTTCATTCGTGAATAACTAGCTTATTGACTGTAGCCCTCGGTGATTGAACGACTTTACTTAAATTAGAATCGCTATGAACACACTAATTTACCAAGCCCAATTAAACAACCAAGACTTCTTTGACAAGCGCTTGGCTTCAATGAAGATATTAGTTCAGTTCATCCGCGCTGGCAAACATTTCTGATGGGACAACGCTCTTCGAATCGCGATTTGCAAATTGGGGCTCTTACCGTTTCCATTCATGACAGTAACTCCAACTGCCTATTTGATACAAAGGTGCCATGGAATGCCATTCATATTTTACGTATCTCTCTCTTCAAAGCACGTAACAAAGCCTGGTGATATTGGTAATTGGTAATTGCATTGGTGTATATACATTCAGTCCCAGTCAGGTCCTAAATCACTGGTATGGGTCTCCTGCCTTTCGTGCCTGTACTGAAGTTAGTTTTTGTATTCAACATCGCATTGCACATTTGACTTACCCTAGTAACTCCTGGCCCACCGAGCTCCTTCTCCAATCCTCCTTCATACTCCTTCGGGTATGATTGCTTGTCCGGGTAAAGAACGTAAACTACTCCGCAAAGTCCAAACACTGCGGTGATGAAGCAGCCGATCTGGAAGAAGGCAGTAGCCGGTTTGGTGTGCGTATATTCCTCTGGAGAGAACAGACCGAGAATGTCATCGTCTTCATGTACTGGCTCGCCGTAGTTACGACGCTGTTGTTTATCCCACCAATCTCCATTGGGGTCGCGAAACTGGCGCTTGATAGGTGGTGGGTTCAAGTAGCCTCCGTTCTGTAGGTGAAAAATCAGTCTCAATACTAACAATATCGTAAAACTCATCGTTTCGAGTGGACTGACCATGTTCGGATCCTCAACGTCGGCCTGGGAGAGGCATCGCTTTTGGATCGCGCTCGCAGGGTGAGCTATTTGGGCGACAGCCCCAAGGCGTTGGATGCGACCAATACGTCGTGAGAGCATCTATTCAAGCTGTTAGCAATGGATAGCTGGATTCAATGGCGCGTCGACATACTGTTGTGGGACTGAAGGCTGTTGCGATTTGCACCTTTCTGGACTGTTCGACGAGTAGTGGTTATGTCGTCGTCCGCGATTAGCTTAGATTCGCTAAATCCCGATCTGCGGCTTACTTCATCCCCATTTAGATTTCTCTCGCGTCCATAATCGTCAAATAATCACCTTGAAGGCAACAACAACCGACATTTTGCCCTGTGCATACTCAGACTTCGCATGAAGAATATTTGAAGCCGTCTGCATTTATTGATGCCAGTTTTGGCGCTACAAATGCATGGTTCGCTCTGTACACGGTAGTGTCGAGCGCACACCACGTAGAAATGCCGGGGATCACGTCCGAGACGACGGAACATCAAGCAATTCATGGTATGCATTTCCACATCAACGAAGGTATAATAACCACGAAGCACAAACATTTTAACAGGCTACATTAGATATTTCACCCGATGATGAAACGACGCCGAATACGAATGGACACGATGAAAGCGCTGCGAATAACGAACCACCTACCAAGAGGCGCAGAGTCAGTGAAGGCACGCCATCAAGCTTAACGCGTAAAAAGGACAACTCGCCACCTTGGAAAAAGATAGTTGCAGAAGGCCCCTCATCGTTCACTCAAGATGGAAAACGAAAATCCAGTCGGACAAACCAGTTACCTCTCACTTTACAACCTCCATCGGACAAACGCCAAACTCGACATGCCTCGCAGACAACTTCTTTCGCGGACAAGCTCAGTAAGGGGAGGCAATCGTTGCCAGCGAATAGCAATCATGATACAAATATCTCGAATAATAAGCTGGGAAGCTCGCTAGGGAAAGGCTACGCGCATAAATCGCCACCGAAAATGGGGTCACAACGCGCCCTGAGCGACAATGAAGGATCGCCTCCTGTCCGTGTCAAGAGAGCGTATAACAAACGAGTGCCTCAGCCTGAGGTCAGCGAGAATGAGCAGTCACCAGCTCGTGTCAAGAGACCATATAAGAAACGAGCGTCGCAACCGGAGGCCAGCGAAAATGAACAGTCGCCACCTCCCGTACGTGTCAAGAGAGCCTACAAGAAACGTATGTCCCAACCTGGGGGCAAGCCAACGACAATACGCCGATCTGCGAGGGCGTCGGATATCCGTTCCAAGGAGACACCGAATGACGAAGATGCACCAGAAGGCTATGGCCCCGAGTCCAAGACGAAATCGCCCCGTATCCGATTTAAGGTTAAGCCGCCGACTCTGCCACACGTACACCCCGATTTAGTTCTTCGAAGACCGAAACAATATCCAACTTTTCAGGAATATGTACAAAATGCTTTCAACCAACCTATCGAGGAAGGGGGGCTCTTTTCTGCGGAAGATGATGTGGGGTATACAGATGAGATGGCATTGAGAGAAGCCAGGTTAATTCTTAGAATGGAAGACGCGGCCTTGCCGGGTGGTGTCCTAAGTGAAGAAGTTTCATCCGCATACAGGCCAGAAGAGCAAGAAAGCACCAAGCGCATACCAAGACAGTACTCTCACCAAGACCACTTAGTCCGTGCTGTGACGGAATTCAGGATACTAATGGTTGAGGAGCACAAGAAACACAAGCGCAATGCGAAGCGCCTTGCCGAAGCTTGCAGGGATGGGTGGCATAGGAAGCAACCTAAGTCTCTCGAAGAAATGGAGGCAGAGGCGCAAAAAGCAGTCGAATTACGATATAGGTCTGTTGTGAGGGTAATGCAAATCACCTGGGACAATGTCAAGGCCGAGGTGAATAAGAGGCGTCTCAAGCAATGGGAGGCAGAGGAGCAGGTCAGAGTGCGCAAGGCTCTTAACGAAGCCGTCGACCTATCCACACAAAAGCTGGAGGCACGGCGTGCTCACCAGGACTCCGATGTACCCAGTTCTGAAGAAGAAGAAGACGAAGATGATCATGGTCTATCGGCAGAAGATCAAGCCGGTGAAAATCACAGCGAAAGTGACAGTAATATGTCATCATCAGAGTCCGAAGCTGACGAAGAACGCGACGTTGAAGATAAAGGGGGTGATGAGCACTTAACGCTGGAAGAATTGAAACAGAAGTACTCCAGTCTTCCGGAAACCCCTGTGAGCATGGAAGTGGACGGAGAGAACGAAGAAGGATCCGACGTATATGTATTATTAGACACGGCCAGCAATATCAACGGTGAAACCGAAGCAGATGAAACGGACGAATCAGTCGATATGGATGACGATATGGGGTCAAGTGATGATGAACGAGACAGCGATGAGGAAGAGGAGGATGCATGGGAGGAAGACGGCGACGATCAAGGAGATGTCAGTCTCTTGGGGTTCCTTGCACCTTCGGATCTAGCAGAGATGGGCGTGGATAAAACACCATCCACGCCATCAGCTGCGGCAGAAGACGAAGGTATCCTCGACGAGGATGATGAGGTGTCGTTAATCCCAAATGCGTCTCATCCCCAATCACCTCTTGCTCCTGCCACCGATGAGGAAGAGAAGGCGAGAGCGGAGATAGATGACAATCCACAACACCCTCTATCCGAAGTCATGAACGTCGATGCTACCTCCGAGGCCGAAGGCGAAGTTGCCAGCGCAGATCACAGCACTCAGCTCACCCCAAGGACTTCCGTGACGAAACCATCAGATGCCGAGTCAGCTTCGTCCATAGACCAGACTAGCGGTCCAGTTACACCCAGCGTAGCCCCCCAAACACCATCGAACTTGAAAACCCCAGTGCCATTCTTACTAAGGGGAACCCTGAGAGAATATCAACACTATGGTTTAGATTGGCTTGCGGGGCTGTATGCAAATAATACGAATGGAATTCTTGCAGATGAGATGGGTCTCGGCAAGACCATCCAAACCATCGCACTACTGGCCCATTTGGCGTGCGAGCATCATGTCTGGGGCCCTCACTTGGTTATTGTCCCGACAAGTGTCATGCTCAACTGGGAGATGGAGTTTAAGAAGTGGTGTCCTGGGTTCAAAATTCTCGCATATTACGGCACTCAAGAGGAAAGGAAACGGAAGCGTCAGGGCTGGAATGATGTGGACACATGGAATGTTTGCATCACGTCGTATCAGCTCGTCCTACAGGATCAACAGGTCTTCAAACGTCGGAAATGGCATTACATGATTCTGGATGAAGCCCATAACATCAAGAATTTCCGCTCCCAGAGGTGGCAGACCCTTCTGACGTTTAACACGCGGGCTCGGCTCCTCTTGACCGGAACTCCGCTCCAGAACAACCTCACTGAGCTTTGGTCGTTGCTCTTCTTCCTGATGCCGTCTGACGGCACGGAGCAAGGTATCGGCGGGTTCGCAGACCTAAAAGAGTTCTCGGAATGGTTCAAGAAACCGCAGGAGCAGATCCTTGAGAATGGGCGTGAAACAATGGATGATGAGGCTCGCGCTATCATCACCAAGCTACACAAAGTCCTTCGCCCGTATCTTCTTAGGAGAATGAAAGCGGACGTAGAGAAGCAAATGCCAGCCAAGTATGAACATGTCGAGTACTGCCGACTATCTAGGCGGCAAAGGGAGCTATACGACGGGTTTTTGAGCAGGTCTGGTACCCGCGAAACTCTCGCCTCGGGGAACTACCTGTCGATTATCAACTGTCTTATGCAGCTCAGAAAAGTTTGCAACCACCCGGATCTCTTTCTAGAACGGCCTATCCTAAGCTCGTTTCCTATGAAGAAGTCGGCCGTTGCTAGCTTTCAGGTCACAGACCTCATAGTCCGTCGCAAACTTCTATGGCAAGATCCGATGAGCACTGTGAGCTTGGGCTTCTTGAATCTGGTGCCTACGAGGAACGAGCATTTATCCTTGGCGGTTAACGAGCGCAGCAATATGCTGACGGCTCAGCGTGTTCTGATGGACATGCGTGAAGCTCAACGTCTCCGTGCTCAAAATGGAATGTCAAATATGGACCCGTCGACTGTCAAATCAAATCTTGTATTCTTGGAAAGCGCATCGCGATGGAGTCGGTTTGAAGAGCTACAGCACATTGTATACCTGAATGCTCTACGGCGACAAGCAAAACCGATGTATGGCAAGGGCCTTGTCAAACGCTTTGATCTCGGGGTTAACCCTCGATTGTTCGAAAAGCGGCCCAGCCGACGAGACCGAGTGCTTGAGTGGATCTGGAAGTCGTCGAGCGTGTTGAAGGACATGGTTCTAACGCTAGAGCAACGCTCCAAGGAACTCGAACCCTATATCCAAAAGTTCGCATGTATCACACCTCCCATCGTTGCACCCGACGCACTCCCAGTGCTGCTCTCTCGCCGTGGTGTGGAATACTTCCAGACTGCGCCTCACCGCGACAAGCCCGATCCTTTCCACGAAGCACGCATGCGACTCTCCGTCCAATTCCCCGACAAGCGACTTCTGCAGTACGATTGCGGAAAGCTACAAGCCCTGGACAAATTACTACGCCGGCTCCAGGCTGGCGGTCACCGCGCTCTTATCTTCACACAGATGACCAAGGTCCTCGACATTCTTGAGCAATTCCTCAACATCCACGGCCATCGTTATCTCCGCCTTGACGGCGCTACCAAGATCGAGCAGCGTCAGATTCTTACCGATCGCTTCAACAACGACACGCGCATCCTCGCCTTCATCCTGTCTTCTCGCTCGGGTGGTCTAGGTATCAACCTCACCGGTGCCGATACGGTCATCTTCTACGACCTCGACTGGAACCCAGCGATGGACAAGCAGTGTCAGGACCGCGCTCATCGTATCGGCCAGACGCGCGACGTGCACATCTACCGTCTCGTGAGCGAGCACACCATCGAAGCCAACATCCTGCGCAAAGCGAACCAGAAGCGCATGCTCGACGACGTCGTCATCCAAGAGGGCGCCTTTACAACAGACTACTTCACCAAGCCCGCCGAAGAAGTTGTTGCCGACACGTCTCTCCTAGGCGCCGACGCGGCCGCCAGCGCAGCTATGGACCGCGTCCTTGGTGGCCCGGATAACAGCACTAATGTGCAGCGCGTGCTTGAGGCAGCAGAAGACACCGAGGATGTCGTTGCTGCGAAAGCCGCGGCGCAGGAGACGCAGGCCGATGTGGAGGATTTCGCTGAGAAGGCTGTCACTACTGCGCCGACGCCACGTGCCTCGGGAACAGACACGCCGATGGATGACACCGGCACACCGGCGATGGGGGCGACGCCCGCGCCGGAGATTATGGTTAATGGCGTGGTGGTGGCGGAGGAAGAGCTGGATGCGTGGGGACGCCCGGTGGGGTCGATTGATGAATATATGCTTGGGCTTATGATGGAGCTGGTGAAGGATACGCCGCTTGAACTGCCCAAGGAGAAGAGCCGTGCGAAACGAGGGAAGGAGCACCGGCAGCGTAATAGAAGGGAGAGGTAGAGGTTATGTATGATATATAATGTTTTGTTACGAACGGTTGTGTGATATTATAAGCGCGGGTTTCGTCCGCTGGTTGAAAGCGGGGTGTTTTCGCGAATAATGATAGATTCCCACAGGCCAGTCTGTTTATGGAGGCTGCTCTCCGGCAGGGAAGAATAGTATACTCTAGTATGTATCATAGAAAAGGTAGTAGAAAAGATCTCAAAAAAAGAATAAACAACTATGTTCCAGCTTTCCCGTGGATCTCTCATCGTGAATATAATATAAAATGATTCCTTACAACTCAACATGAGCTATATATATATTCTTACTTGGTACGTTTATGATAGACCTCCAACTAACATTAGGAGTAATGTTCATAATTTTAAATGGTGACGTCCTGAAGTTTACCCATGGAGAACAGCTTTATCACCCGTAGTCCACTGACTCTTCAGTTCCCATCTTTTAATCTTCCACAACCCATCCCCCCCATCCCTAACAAGATCAATATCATACAAGCTCCCCACCGTATACGACGTATTCTCCATCTTAACCGCATCCTCCGTCCTCGCATGATACGATAGCGCATGCGCAGTCATCTTCGCCGTATCCGCGCCATCCTCTAGCTCAACGCGGATATTACTCGTGATGTGCGTAGTAGTCAGTGCGAAGACCTTGTCAAAGAACTCGTTGATCGTGGGCCAGCCTGAGATAGTGGCAGGGCCAATGATTATAGTCATGTCTTCGTTCTTCAAGCATGCTGACTCGAAAAGGTTGCGGTTGTTGCTGTCCATGCCGAGGACAGCGACGGCTTCTCGGGGGTGTGGGAAGGGGGAGTGTCTAGTGTCTCTGCTATGTCTGCGACGATTGGGTGGGATTTGGGTGTTGTGATTTGATCTGGATTATATTTACCTCTTGGCGGCTGAGCTTTTTATATTTAATGATGTTTGTTACGATGAAATGCAGGCACGTTGAGCTAACAGGGGGTTACCGGATTTAAAGGATTGGAATGCAGGAGGCTAGGATTACCGGTTATAAGATGGGAATAAAGTACTACGTGCATACCCGGAGCTCCACAGGTTCTATTATTACCCTCTGCACAGCTGTTTGAAAATCAAAGGCACAGATGTGTTTGCTGTGATTAAGATTGGGGTGTAGGAGTATTGAAAACTAGGCGAGCGAGTTGCGTATCAACTCGGTCATTAAGTGCATCTCTGCAGATAAACGCGTCTTGCCGCCACTTGTGATTTTCAAAGCTACAACTATAGACAGCACTTGGTCTACGAACCCGCACGTTTCCTATTGGCAAATCTCAGCTAGTACGAAGGGTTGGACGTTAACGTCCATGGATTACAATGGTTACAACAAGTCTTTGAGCCCGAAACCCGTGAAATTGCAGATGGCAAACCGCGGCTTTTGATTGCAGATGGCCATGACAGCCACATTTCTACAAACTTTATTGCTCATTGCATGCAACATAACATCGATCTTCTTATACTTCCGCCTCATTGTTCACATATCCTTCAACCTCTAGATGTTGCGGTGTTTGGGCCTGTAACGGGGTGCCAACCGTTACAGTGCGTTGTATATATAAGACTGCGCTTGTAAATGAGACAGACAAACTTTCACGAGTTGGAGTAAGGCATATACAAAAGGTAGAATGGATAGAAATGTACTACAAAGCAAGATTACGAGCGATATCACAATACAACATTCACAGTGCGTGGTTAGGAGCGGGTATTTAAACATTCCTCAAAATGCATATAAACACTTGCTAACCTTACACACCCGCTCTTCTACAACTTCAACAAATGCCACTACACCACCTCCACGAACACCAAACCATCCCTCATTGCTCCTTAGCTCTCTGCCGAGTAGTACGGAGTTGCGCATAACGCAGCTCTTAATTTGATGTTGCAAGCTCAAAATGTGCACGACTCTCTAACACACAAATATATCTCACGACTTACAGGTACTGCTGAAACTTTAAGAACGCAAAACACATTATTATTAAAGGAGCTACAAGATACGCAAAGTGTTCTGCCTGTACGGAGAGCTAACAAGCGAGGCAAAAGAGTAGTGTTGAAAGGAGTTATTGTAACGAGTACTTAAGAAATCTAGTCGGCAGTTTTACAGATTGAAAATGAGACCCGTAACAACAAGGGCAAAGGTCGGGCATAAAGGGTTGAACAAGACAGTATTATCGAGGAAATTGAGGAGGACCTACTTGTTAATGATTTGCCTGACTCGGAATTTGGTACGCTCAGTTGTATTATAGTTAATAATTGATTTGAAGTTGGAAGACTCGGTTTTTGCTGCTCATTACGCCATGGTGCTCGCGCCATTGCGAACGTTACAGCAACGGAAGGTGCCTTTTGCAACCTCCAGGCCGCCACATTGCTAAATGGAGTATTTTATTAGATGCGTAATTAAAGGGTTGCTGTATATTCTATAAACGTAGTTAGATTTGTTTGTAAGGCTAGCTGTGAGTGATAATTATGTCTGGTTAAATTCACGGCGGCCTCGACCATTCATGAACGGTCTGAATTTATGGCAGTGTTGAAACAAATATCACTCTATTAGTGTCTATGAATGTCTCTCGCCTCCCCTTTGTGTAGGCAAACCAATGCTATGACGCATCGGCCATTTGTCTGGCCCTTGCTTCGTCCTCCGTGAGAAATCATCGATGAAACTATTTATTCCATGAATCCAATCTACGCTTTCCAACCCAGGCTTTAAACCCAAGTCAATCCAAGCACCACAACCCCCTCTCCAAACAGCAAATCTCACATCCCGGGCCATCCAATACCGACGGGCCCTTGCCTAACGTCACAAACCTCCCCCCATCTTATTCCCCCCAGCCCCTCCGGAACCCCACACCCCCTAACCACCCACGCCGCAAAACCCACCTCAAGCGCCCAAGCCAACACCGCTCTCCCCCTCCGCCTCCCTCTCCCCATCGAGCTCTCCTTCCCCCAAAGCCCCGTCTCAAACACAACCGCCACCCCGTTGCCAACAAAGAACCACCACACCCTCCGCAGCCCCTCGCGCGCAATTAGAGGGGAAAGCGCGTAGACGTGGAACGCTCCCATAAGCGCAAATGCCGATACCAGGCCTCCAGCCCGCGCCGCATCGATCGGTAGTCCAACCCGCGATAGCGCCCGCCGCACGGGGTGGTACGCAAGGGAGGTGCACGGTGATGCGAACGCGTTGTGCCAGGTTTTGGCCCAGAACCCTCCGAGCGAATCGGCCTGGTATAGTGGACCAAAGAGCGGTGGGCTGTCATGGTACCGCAAAATGAGTTGTAGTGTTGTCCAGAGGATGTAAATCGTCAAGAGAACCTGTAAGGCGAGGATGATCGCGTGCTCCTGCGGGAGCATCTGGAGCGCGGCGGAGGCGGCAATATGGAGGGCGAGGTCTGTGGGTTCGCTGAAGGAGGAGGTCGAGACGCGGATGGGGTTCGGGGTGAAGCTTTCGTAGCGGAGCTCAGTGGTTAGGAGGAGTGCGAGGAGCGAGGGAGGGAGGTGGGAGGAGCCGGCGTAGGTGCGTGGGTGGTGCCGGCGGGCGAAGATGTCGAGGGTTTTGAGGACGCCTACTGCGACTTGGGAGCGTGTTAGCTAGAGTTAAGTTTGGTAGGAGGGGAGGAGAGTCCATGGGTGGCTGGAGTGGGACTGGGACGCTGCGAATGCACCTCCGAAATTCATCAGTGACGCTGCTGGCGGACAGCTTATTGGCACCACTGATGTCACCGTCGCGAACCCCACGAGGGCCCCGAGCGTGAGCACGCCATAGACGCGCCTGTATCCCTTAAAACTGAAGTAGAGCGAGAGATAGAGCAGTGCGAGCGGAAGGAGGAGGTACGCCAGTGAGCGGCTGAATTCGTGTGCTAGAAGTCTGAATAATGGAGGGATATCAAAGGGTAGGATGGAGGTGGTCATCCTACCTTGCCTTTTGCCCGAGGCGTGCGATGTAAGTATGTTTTTGTAGGTTCACTCCGTTACGCTGGAAAAGCCACCAGGAGTCTCTGTGGTGATATCAATGAGCTATAAGTTAGCGAAGCTCCCGCAAGGTACGCGTCGTATGCCCCTTCCCACTGAATTTAACCCCAAAAACCTTCAGTCTGCTTCACGTCACAGGTATCTCACTCGCGATTCCCAAGTGATATCACAATTCCCAGCAAAATATCTGAGCGGCTGAATATCAGTAATTATCGCCTTCAGCCTTGTAAGCCAGAAACGACGTCATAAGCAAGGCGCCAGGTCAGAGCTGCCTCGGCAATGGACTAGGCGACATTTTGATAACTAAGCTTCCCCAGTATTCATTCTGAAAACTTAGTAAATGCACCTATCTAGGCCTAATTTACCTATTTCTGCTTGGGGTTGTTAGGGTTTACAGTAGCCTAGGTTGTAATCGACGGTGCACATCGCCGGTGATATCCCATAGACTACGTTGTTACTACCTATACAGCTTTTGTGCGACGCATTGCGCGATGGTATAGACCGCTGTAAACAGACCGTCAATAAACAGGCAACCGCCGCCAACCTATGATCACAATTCCTAGCATTATAATTCTGCATTCCACATCATCTTCACTCGGATCCATCTCCACTACACCCAAGTGAGCTGTCGATCAAGAGAGTATCTGATTTTCTCCCGCAGCTAGACAAGAAAGTCGAGCGTATGCGGAAGCCGGCCGACGGAACGGAGCATTGCCGGATGGAGAGGGTTATTCTGCTACCGTTATTTGGTGCTGCTGTTGTTGATATTATACTGTCGCTCCTATCTTGCTGTCGTTCCGGTGCTGCTGTCATGCCACTTAAATCATCGCTGGCTTCTGCGCTGCCGTTAGATTCCCGGTATCTGATATGCTTCTAGTATACACCATTTACAAAGTCTAGCAATCTCAGTGCTCTGGTTTACTTCTGCGGAAAGCTGGTTTCGAAGCTTTCTTAGCTCTTTGTCGAACTCGGCCTTCACGGCCTCAACCGTCTTCTACTGAAAATCTTCTATTGCCCTCAACAACAGACACGTCCGCAACCAAACTGCCCATAATCTGCTGGGAATGTTTGTTCATGGCGAAGATGCCCTCTTTTTCCTGGTCCTCATCTTGAGAACCCCGCATAGCGATATGCGCTGCTCCAGGTTGATAGCGTCCATTCGTTAGTATCGGCCGAGTTGTACGGTACTCATGTCCTAATCCCCCTTCGATTTTCGACGCCTTCCAAGCAAATATAAAATCTGTCCAATTTACTAGTCGATGGTATCGACTGTTGGCTCATATACATGTGATCCAAAGAAATTATGTAGCAGGTCAGCGCAAGTGCGCCGATGAATTACACGCCCAACCAGACATTATGGTGTCTCTGTCGATTGCCTGCGACCTGACATCACTCGAGCTGCAGGTCCAAATACACCATTATAGAGGAGTTCATGTGATCATTTACTGAGTCCGGTGTCTACGCCCAATGAGTTGGATCTAATAGTTTGCTGCGTTGTGGTGGGCCATGGGCCGCGACGTTGAGTCGAAAAATGAGAAAAATATGGAATTAATTACAGCCACGTACGTAGCGTAGACCGAGTTTTGAGTTTTTACCACGCTACAGACAAGTTGATGCCCGATGTAAGACACTTTGATGTAACCGTGGGGTTTTTTCAGTTTAGCCTGTTTGTCCCAGCAGATCGCTTGGGTTGGACCCCTTTACTATAAAAAATGAAACTTTTTTATAATCCGACTTTCGTACCTGGCTGTTGAAGATACTTGTGTACCATAGCGGATATTATTTGTTCGGTGGACAGAGGGGTCGTCCCGCCCCTGTGAGAACCATGGTACACAAACGGGGGCCCTGGGGATAGCTTGGTGCCTTTGTTTACCTTCAAAATATCAATCAAGGACGGCCGATAACGCATCAATATCAGCCTGAATACTGTACTGTACTCTGTAAACAGATCTTCTAGCCGCCCATGCTGTATACCCCTACTAGATCATGTGATTCAGGCGTCGAGTGCAAATTTAGTACGGAGTATGTAGGACAACTCATAGTGAGCATGCTTGGCACCAACCGAAACAATCCCTCAGCTCCTCCCGTTGCCGCCAAGACTTTGACCCCCAGCCTCATCATTCCGAGTGGATCACCTATAACCACAAAACACTTGAGCTCACCATCACCTCACCGACAGAATCGCAAATATCTACTCACAGTGTCGCTTCAGCTCGTCGCCGACAGCTAATGCACACGCCACTACACAACTAAGCCACCACGATGGCCGACGCTCGTACGCGCGGCGAGGCCTCAGGGTCCCGCCGCAAGAAACGAGACTCGCCATCAAAACAACAGGACCGCCGCGACGCCGCTCGCAGCGAAAGCTTCCAAACACAAACACAACCACAGCCAATCTACTCGAATACCAGGGCTGCACCTATATACGCCGAGCCGGAAGAGGACCTGAACTTGCGCGGTCCCCGCCGCTACAGCAGCGGGGATGTCTCGTCTTCCAGCTCGAGCTACATCGACATCTCGCGCAGGTCGCCCATTCAGCGCCGGTCAGCCGTGGGATTCTTCCGGTCCTTCTTCGCAGCCCCAGACAGACGGCGCCGCGTCAAGAAGCAAAGAAGCCGCGCGTCCATGAAGCTGGGAAACTCGTCAAGTAGCTCAGTCGACAGCAACCTGGCGTACGGAACCGGCTTCTTGAAGAAGCGGAAGGAGAGATACGTGTCGCCCTACGGTTCTAGGAGGGAGCGCAAAACTAGCGGCATATATGCGCCCGCGGGCCGGGCGCCGGGGAAGAAGCGCAAGGAGAAGGATGTTGAGACGGAAATACTAGAGGTCGGCGCGGGATTGGCTGCGCTGGCGAGGAAACAGAACCGCATGGACCTGATTGAGGCGCGGAAACAGGGAGTTGTGCATATTAAGAGGGAGGACTCGGGGATACATGGGCTTGGGGTTAAGGGCGTGGAGTCTAGCCGTGGACTTGGGTCGTCGAAACCTAGCCATGGTGCGGATGAGGACGGCTGGGAGTCAGCGAGCGACGACGAGTCCTGCTCCTCTAGCAGCGTGGATTTGGGGCTTGCATATGGCGGCGAGAACACGTGGAATTGGGGACGTCCGCGTCCTCCAATGCCCGTAAAGCGCAAGAGCACCATTGTGGACCCGAAGCTCTTCGGTCCGCAGAACTCGCTGAATGGCGTCCTCTCGAGGCCGGTCGGTTTCGGAGAGGTCGACATCAATGCTCCTGGAGGATTTATGCCGGAACCATTTTCCTCTGCCGCGAGGGACACTGGCTATGTGTCGCCGCAGCAGCCACCGCCAGCACCGAGTCTACGTGGAAAGGATGATGGCTATATTCCTACTGCTGGACCCGCCCGCAGGGGAAGTGCCCAAAGCTCTGGCTCTCTACAACACGTCTTCCCAATGCCTACGGACGACCCTCTTAACTTTGACGCCTGCCGCAGGTCCGTCGCGTCCGTCCAGGACCGACCAATCTACAATGTATCACGCACTGACTCTCTACCCCTACGACAACCTAAGCCATTTACACCTGTTTCGCAAACTATCTACGAACAATCCTCTATCCCAGCTCATGTGGACTCTACACCTCGAAAAAGAGACTCTGGGAGTAAAAGGGAATCTGGGAGCAAGAGAGACTCTGGGGGTTACGCGACCTTCGCTGGTGCGGGCCTTGCTGGGGTTGCACTTGCTGGGATGGCGGCCAACCGACTCGAAAAGCGTAGAAATGAAGACGATTATGAGAGAGCGAAGCGACGCGAGCGACGCAATAAGGAGGTGCGCGAACCTGAGGACGATCGTGAAAGGCGCCGCGAGAACCGTCGCGAGTCGGAGAGATACGAAAAGAGCGATAGACTGCGAGACTCCCGCCGTGATGATGAGCAGCGCGACTACCGCCCAGACGAGAGGCGTGAGCGCCGCCGTGGCGAGGAGCGCGAAGAGACCCGTACCTCTCGTCAGCTGGTATCTGCCACTCGTCCCGACCCATTCCAGTACCAGGTTGCTGACGACGCTTTCGAGATCGCGGACAGGCCCCACAAATCGCGTCAGGCAGCTGCCGATGGGCCTTCGGCCAGGGCTCTTGAGAAGGCTCCTGAACGAGCCCTTGGGAGCGCGCCTGAGCTGCCTATGGATAACCTTGATATCGGGTCCACGATTGAGAGAGGCCACACCCCTGATATCGTGACGGTGGAGAGAGTGCCTCGCTTTGCTCGCGGAGGAGCGCGCACCTCGAAAGTCCCGGCCGCATCAACAGCCCGCGATGACGGACCCTCTGAGACCCGTGGCCGTTCGAGGGAGAAATCCCCTGAGCAGATACGGGTCGTTCGTGTAGTAACTGACGAGCCGTCCGCAGCACCAAGTGATGCTGCGGCCGCTGAATACTCCAGCCCTACTAAGAGGGAGTTTAAGAAGGGCAAGCGCAAGTCCTACTCCGCCAGCACCGAGCGAGAGCGCGACCTCATCCAAGAAGACGCCGACCGCGTGTACCGCGAGACCACCGCCGCGAACAAGGCAGCTGCCAAGGAACCGGCACCGCGTCCTGTGACGCCAGAAAACAACGACGAGGACAAGGAGAAGGGTCCCTACGACAGCCCTAACGCTGACTTCGAGCTTGACCACGTCATGCACCCCGAGGACATGCCGACCTTCTCTCCCGTTGTGCTCCGCGCATATCCCGCCTCGCAGAGCTGCGAGATCGAAGGCCCCTTCGACCCAGCCACGATGGGCCTCTCCCGACCGCTCCTAAACCTCGTCTATCCCACCCCCACACCCGAGGCGCAGAAGCTCCGTGGCGCCAAGGCGGCTCCTGAGACAAAAGATCGCGAGATCTCAGACCGCGATATTGTCACGGTCTCTCCATCAGAACCCAAGGGCGTCAAGTGGGGCGAAGATGAAGTCAAGAGCTTCGTACCCGTAACGCCCCATGATGAGGCCGCCGATCCGATCCACAAAGCTGCCGCGCCGGAACCCGTGAAGAAGAAGCCTTCTCGTTGGGGAGACATCCGCGGTGCCTTCATCGCACGCGCAGCGGAGATCAAGGCCGAGGAGGCCGCAGAAGAGAAGGCGCGCGCGGCCGAGGCCCCCGCTTCCCCAGCCGAACCCTTCGAATACCGCGGCATCACCGTGGAGCCCGAGCATGCCAACGACCGTGACGCTAGCCTCGAGCGCGATCTCCCCAGAGATGACCACCGCGACCCCGGCCCCCCTCCCTCCGTTGGCCCCAAGCCCACCGCCGCTGTAGAGAGCCGCGGCATGCCCGGCGCCTTTGATGATGACATCGACTTCGCTGCCACTCTCGCGGCGGGACTTCAGGACTCGGGTTTTGATCCGAATATCGTGATTAACGACTCCAGCTTCGCGAGGCGCTCATCGCCGCCGGGATCGGATGTCGAAACGGTGGTGTACCACAAGCCGTTCTCGGAGACGGTCACGGACTTGGGCGTTTATGAGCGTCATCCTAGCGGACCCAGCGATGGGCCTGTGCTAGAGGAGGCGAGCCGCAAGATTGACGAGGAGGAGTTTCCTGTCTCGAAGAAGCTGAGCAAGAAAGAGCAGAAGAAACTGGAGAAGGAGGAGGCGAAGCGTGCCAGGGATCACGAGTTCGACGGCGCTGAGGCTGCCGCGGTCGCTGCAGTAGCAGCTGCTGCCGTTGCGGGAGTGGCGCATCACTATGCCGGGGAGCGCGAGGTTGCAGAGCCAGAGCAGCACGCCGACGAGACCGATGAATTCTCATTCTCGAAGAAGCTGAGCAAGAAGGAGCAGAAAAAGCTGGAGAAGGAGGCTGCGAAGCTTGCAATGGACCGCGAGTTTGAAGCGGCCGAGGCCGAAGCTGCTGCTACTGCTGCGGACCACGAGGTTGTCGGGGAGCGCACCGATGAGGCTGATGACTTCGCGTTCACGAAGAAACTGAGCAAGAAGGAGCAGAAGAAGCTGGAGAGAGATGCCGCGAAACTGGCACAGGAGGAGGAGGATGCGGCCCGGGAGCGCGAGCACGAAGCTATGATGGCGCAGATTGTCGTGGAGCATGAAGTCGTGGGGCCACAAGATGAGGCTGACGAGTTCGCCTACGGCAAGAAGCTGACCAAGAAGGAGCAAAAGAAGCTTGAGAAGGAGGCCGCGAAACTGGCCCAAGACAAAGAATTCGAAGACGCTAAGGCTGAGGCTGCAAATAGCCGTGCCGTCGAAGAGCCTGAGGAAGTCTGGGGCGAAGAGGCTCGGGAAGTGCCCGAGTTCTTTGACCGAGGACGAATCGCGGTGCCTGGGGCTCCGCAGGAGGAGATACGGGACGAGTTTGACGACTTCGATGCATTCATGCCCAAGCTGAGCAAGAAGGAGCAGAAGAAGTTGGAGAAGGAGGCCGCGGCCGCGAAACTTGCCGAGGAGAAGGAGTTGGCAGAGGCCGAGGCTGCGAAACTAGCTCAAGACAAGGAGTTCGCAGAAGCCGAGGCTGCTAATAACCATCCCGTCGAAGAGCCCAAGGTCCAGAGCCGAGAGCTGCAGGACGACGAATTCAAAGAGGCTGATGAGTTCACCAAGAAGCTGAGCAAGAAAGAGCAGAAGAAGCTAGAAAAAGAGGCTGCCAAACTTGCTCAAGATAAGGAATTCGAAGAAGCTGAGGCTGCGAATAGTCATGCCGTCGAAGAGCCTGAGGCCTGGGACCAAGAGCATCAAGAGGACGAATTTAAGGGGGCGGAAGAGTCAGCGCCGAAACTGAGCAAGATAGAACAGAAGCGCTTGGACAAGGAGGCCGCGAAACTGGCACAAGATAAGGAGTTCGAAGAAGTCGAGGCTGCGAGTAGTCGTGCGGTGGAAGAACCTAAGGCTTGGGTTCAGGAGCCACAAGAGGACGAATTCAAAGAAGCGGAGGAGGGGTTCGTCTTTACTAAGAAACTAAGTAAGAAAGAACAGAAGAAGCTAGAGAAGGAACAAGCGAAGCAAGCACGCGACCGTGAGATCGAGCTTGAGGAGGCAGGGGAAGGTCTCCACGCCATCGTTGAGGAGCCAGAAACCTCGAAATCACAGGGAGAGGATGATAAAGAGGCAGACGAATTCGCCTTCACGAAGAAGCTGAGCAAGAAGGAGCAGAAGCGACTCGACAAGGAAGCAGAGAACCTGGCGAGAGATCGCGAGCTAGAGCTTGAGCAAACCGAAGTCCCTGGCACCCAAACTCCAAAAGAGGCTGACGAATTTGCCGAGTTCTCGACCTCTAAGAAGAGTAATAAATCCAAGAAGTCCCGGAAGAGCGCTGGGTACCCTGACGATGATGAAGAGGTACCAGCGACGAAGATTTCCGTTCCTATCGATGCATTTGATGATTTACGCCACGACGATGCCACTGCTGGCCTAGTGGACGAATGGGACGCGCCAAAGAAGTCGAAGAGGATGTCAAGGCGCGGAGATGAAGTCTTCGAAGATGCTCAGGAGTCCATTTCGAGGAAGGGATCGAAGAAGGACAAGTCAAGGGGCAATGCGGACAGCGACCGATCCCAAATCCGAAGCGTTGTGTCTGAGCCTGTTGAGGATGACACCAGGTCCGTGACGTCGGAATCTAAGAAGAAGTCTAGGGGTAGTGGCTTCTTTGGATTCTTCGGAGGCTCGTCTAACAAATCCGATGTTAGCGAGAGCGAAAAGGCTGTCAAGCTCGTTGGCGCTGATGAGGCGTACGACTTGAGCAATGGCCATTCTCCTATTGAGGGCTCTAACGGCATTTCCAATGGGAATGGCCACGAGGCACACGAGGAGGACGAGTGGGCTAGCACCACGAAGTCTAAAAAGAAAAAGAAGAAACAGAAGAATGGCATAGCCGACGATGAGGCCTCTGAACAGGATTCTTTTTTAGCTAATGCCGGCACCCTTGGCGCGGGTGTCGGCCTTGTCGGTGCTGCAGCGGTGGCCGCTGCTCTGCATCAACAACACCAAGCCGATGATGGTGACAGTAAGGACGATCCGGCAGCTCGATCCCTTCCTGCTGCATCTCAGCCACAGAACATTGCAGCGGACGCTCCTCGCGATCCGTATCCGAACGACTTTGTCGATCCGGAGATCGTTGAGAGGCCATTCCGTGTAGCCATCGACCCGGAGTATATGGACCTCCTCGCTCTGCCCCCAAGCGATCCTGGCACCCCAGATCCGCACCATTCCACCGACCTTCCTGCTCTACCGGACAGCCGCCCGCCCTCCCCGCCAGGCACAGAACATCTTGCTCCCATTGACAGAAGCCTCGCCGCCCATGACAAGAACCCCTCCACACCGCGCAAAACCGAGTCGCGCAAGCCCAACCGCAAAGCTGCTAGCCTTAGCGCAGTACCCCTAACATTCAAGCTGGTCAATCGCTCAACACCCTCGTCCTCGGGACTTCCGCGCCCCTCACCCCTCGCGTCCCCTCTAACCCCAGGCCTTGCACGCCCATCATCACTCATGTCACCGCTGAGTCCTGCCATGGACTCACCGGGCTTTTCCCGAACAAAGGCGCGCCCGACCTCTTGGGACAACTCGCGCGAGATCAAGCCATTATTCCTACTCGATGCTGCGAGGCGGGAGTCGCTGTTATCGGATGAGGAGAGGCCAACTCGGCCGCGGTCGATAGAGCCCGACTATGCTGTGTATAGTCGCCGGTCGTCGCTTGCTTCCGCGAGGGCGTCGGTGGTTTCACCGAGATCGGATGATGTTGCTGATTTGCCGGCTCTACCGGAGAGTCGCGAGGCTTCTCTGGAGAGAGTTGAGGAGCTGCCGGCGTCGGTGGAGGAGCCAACATCAGTTTTGGATCCGCTTGAACAGCCACTTGCCAAGGATGGTGATGTAGTATCCAAGGAGGTTTCACTGGAGCCCGAGGCTGATCAAGTCAAGGAGGCCTTTGGTATCGAAAGACCTCATTCTCCGGATCAATTCGAAGAGCCACACGAGTTTCCTGAGCTTCCCGAAAGCCGCCCAGCAACACCGATCGATGATAGAGACCTTCAGGTTTCGGACGCTATTGTTCAGGAAGCTGGCGATCCTACCACCCACGCTGATGGCCAACAAGATGAGACATCTCGAGAGGTAGACGATTTACCGCAGCCGACTCCAATAGAGCCTGATACATGCAACCGTAGCTCTCATCTCTTCCAGCCAACGCCACAGACAACTCCGATCAAGCACTCTAGCATCGATGATATCATATTGGAGCATCCTACTCAAGATGAGTCGGGCGATCAAGACGGCGTGGCTGTACAGGAGCGCAGTACTACAGAAGAACAAGGCGAGAGCTACGTGACTAGAGATATAAACGTAATGGACGTTCCTATGGCCCAATTTGACAGCACAGCGCGCGAGGTCGCAGCGGAAGAAGAAGCTGAGCCTGTCGACGAATGGAGCGCTACCCCATCAAAGAAGGCTAAAAAAGACAAGAAGAAGGAAAAGAAGGCTAGGAAGGGAGGTTATCAGACTCCACCCGTTGAGAAAACCCCAGAGCAGGCCGCCCTTCCTGAGACGCTTGAGGAGCAACCGCAGCAGCCGACCGAAGATTTGAGTCGTGATCTGCCACTGGCTGCAGCCGCTGCAGCCGCCGCGACTGCTGCTATTGCTACCTTTGATGAAGAGCCAAGCGCTTCTCGAGACCTAAGCATCTCGGACGAACCAAGCATTCCTGTGGAGCCGGTAGAGCCAGAGTGGGCATTGAAGCCATCTAAGAAAGACAAGAAGAAGGCGAAGAAATCCCGCGGAGACCCCGTCTCAACTCCAGCCGACGACACTCCCGCAAAATCTATCCTCCCCGAGGCCGATATCGAACAGCCGCCGGAGCCCCTTGAGGATTTTGCTGTGGAGCCAGAATGGACTGCGAAGCCATCTAAGAAGGACAAGAAGAAGGGGAGAAAGAGTCGCGGAGGTGAAGCCACGCCTCCGGCTGAAGACACTACTGCAGAGACTATCCTCCCTGGGGGTGATGTCGAACAACCGGTACAGCCTGCGGAAGAGTTCGTTGCCGAGCCAGAGTGGGATTTGAAGCCTTCTAAGAAAGATAAGAAGAAGGCTAACAAGGGTTTCAGCGAGCAAGCTTCAATCCCGGCCGAGGACAATACTACAGAGACTATTCTTCCCGAGGCCGAGAGCGAACAACCACTACAGCGTGCTGAAGAAGCACAACCTGCCGACGAAGCACAGCCTGCTGAAGACTTCGCCACCGAGCCGGAATGGGCCTTGAAGCCTTCGAAGAAGGACAAGAAGAAGGGCAAGAAGAACCGTGGAGATCAAACGCCGGTGGAGGACAATGCTGCAGAGACTATTGTTCGCGAGGTCGAAAGCGAACAACCGGTGCAACCAGCTGATGAGGCTCAGTCTGCTAAAGAGGTCCAGCTTGTCAAAGAGGTGCTTCCCGTTGAAGATTTTATCGTGGAGCCAGAATGGGCTTTGAAGCCTTCGAAGAAGGATAAAAAGAAAGGCAAGAAGGGTCGCGGGGAGCAAACTCTGGCCGAGGACAATACTGCCGAGACTACTCTTCCCGTAGTTGAGAGCGACCAACAGATACAGCGCGCCGAAGAGGTTCAGCCTGCCCCAGAGGAACTTCCTGTCGAAGATTTCGTCGCGGAGCCAGAATGGGCCCTGAAGCCTTCGAAGAAGGACAAGAAGAAGGGTAAGAAGGGTAGCGGGGACCAGACCCCAGTCGAGGACAATGTTGCCGAGACTATTCTTCCTGAAGCCGATAGCGAACAACCAATACAGCCTGCTGAAGATATAGTCGCAGAGCCGGAATGGGCCCTGAAGCCTTCAAAGAAAGACAAGAAGAAAGGAAAGAAGGGTCGAGGAGGTCTGGTTGACGATACTGCTACTGAGCCATCGAACTCGCCCGAATCCGCTCCGGAACCAGAACACCTTCAGACTTTGGAAGATGAGGAGGCGGCTAAAGAAATCCCCGTCGACATTCCTGTTACTGATCTCGGTGATGAGCCCGCCCCCGCTTCGGAACAACAGCCGAAGCCTTTCGAAATCGTCGCTGAAGATGTTCCTGTCGACGTTCCCGCAACCACTCCCAGTGACGAGCCTAAGTCCGTTTCAGAGCGACAGCTACAGCCTTTAGAAAACGTAGCTGAAGATGCTCCTGCCGACATTCCTGTTACAGCTCTCAACGACGAGCCAACCCCTGTCGTGCAACAAGAGCTACAGCCTTACGAAGACGCAACCAGAGACGCCAATACCGATATTCCTATTACAGCTGCCGATACCCCCGTCGTGGAATCTGAGGAGCCAGCAGAGCCAACATGGGCCTTGAAACCTTCGAAGAAAGACAAGAAGAAGGCGAAGAAGGGTCGCGGAGCTCCAGTTGAGGAGGATACTGCAATAGAACAACAGCTACAACCTTTAGAGGACGGAGTTAAAGATGCTCCCGTCGACATGTCTATTGCGGCCACCGATGATACCCCTGTTGCGGAATCCGAAGAGCTAACTGAACCAACGTGGGCGCTGAAGCCCTCAAAGAAAGACAAAAAGAAGGTGAAAAAGAGTCGCGGTGGTCTTGTCGAGGATACTGCTGCAGAGATATTAGACTCTCCCGAATCTGCTGCTCCCGAATCTTCTGCTCCCAAATCTGCTGCGGAGCAACCGCCTATGGAAGATGTTGCCGTAGATGTCCTCGCCGATGCTCCTATTGCTAGTCCAACTGACGAGGCTGCCCCGGCCACAGAACCCGAAGAACCATCGGAACCAATGTGGGCGCTAAAGCCTTCAAAGAAGGACAAGAAGAAGGCGAAGAAGGGCCGCAGCGGTCCAGTCGAGGAGGACACTACTGTAGAGCCACTAGACTCCCTAGAATCTGCCGTGGAACAACCGCCTCTAGAAGACATAACTAGAGAAGCTCCCGTCGACATTGCTACCGCCGCCTTCGACGAGCCCCCTCCCGCCGCAGAATCCGAAGAGCTATCAGAGCCAACATGGGCGCTGAAGCCGTCGAAAAAAGACAAGAAGAAGGCAAAGAAGGGCCGTGCAGACCTCGTTGATGAGGATACCACTTCAGAGACATTAAACGCTCCCGAGCCTACTCCGGAACAGCAGCTACAACCTCTAGAACCTGTCGACATCCCTGTTGCTGCTATCGGCGACGAGCTAACTTTTGATGAGCCTGTTCTCGACAAACCCGCCTCTGATGACCTAGCCGCTGAAGAGCCCGTTCCCGCTGCAGAATCCGAAGAGCCATTTGAGCCAACATGGGCCCTGAAGCCATCAAAGAAAGATAAGAAGAAGGCTAAGAAGGCTCGTGGAGGTCTATTTGAGGATACTGCTGTGGAACAACCTTTAGAAGGCTTGGCCAAGGATGCCCCCTTCGACATTCCTATTGCAGCTCCCGGCGGTGATGAGCCTACTCTTGAGGAGCTCATCCCCGATGAGTCCATCTCCGCTGAGCCTACCGCCGCTCCGGAATCCGAAGAGCCATCAGACCTAGCGGAGCCTACATGGGCACTCAAACCATCAAATAAAGACAAGAAGAAGGCTAAGAAGGGTCGCGGAGGTCCAGCTGAGGATACTGCACTAGAGCAGGAAGAGCAGCCTTTGGAAGAAATGGCGAAAGAGGCCCCAATCGAAATTCCCGCTGCTACTCTCGACGATGAAACCTCTCGCGACGAGCTCACAGCTGATGAATCGACGCCCTTGGCGGAACGCGAAGAGCCATCTGGGCCGACATGGGCACTAAAGCCGTCTAAGAAAGACAAGAAGAAGGCGAAGAAAAACCGCGAAGGTCTATTTGAGGAGGACACTGCTTCAGAGCCTTTAGATAATGTCGCAAAGGATATCCCCGTCGAAATCCCTCTTGCTGCTCTTGGTGCTGCTGCTCTCGGTGTTGCTACTCTCGGCGATGAACCCACAATTGAACAGCCCATTGCCGCTGAGCCCATCGCCGTCGAGCCCGCCGCTGTCGAGCCTACACCCGCTGCGGAATCTGAAGAGCCAACATGGGCGCTGAAGCCGTCAAAGAAAGACAAGAAGAAGGCAAAGAAGAGCCGCGGCCTGTTTGAAGAGGATACTGTTCCAGAACCACAGGGAGAGCCCTTGGAAGATGTGGCAAAAGATATTCCCATCGAAACTTCTCTTGGTATTCTCAGTGATGAGCCCACCACCGTTGAGCCCACCACCGTTGAGCCCACCACCGTTGAGCCCACCACCGTTGAGCCCACCACCGTTGAGCCCACCACCGTTGAGCCCACCACCGTTGAGCCCACCACCGTTGAGCCCACCACCGTTGAGCCCACCACCGTTGAGCCCACCACCGTTGAGCCCACCACCGTTGAGCCCACCGTTGTCGAGCCTACACCCGCTGCGGAATCTGAAGAGCCAACATGGGCGCTGAAGCCTTCAAAGAAAGACAAGAAGAAGGCAAAGAAGAGCCGCGGCCTGTTTGAAGAGGATACTGTTCCAGAACCACAGGGAGAGCCCTTGGAAGACGTGGCAAAAGATATTCCCATCGAAACTTCTCTTGGTACTCTCAGTGATGGGCCCACCACCGTTGAGCCCACCACCGTTGAGCCCACCACCGTTGAGCCCACCACCGTTGAGCCCACCGTTGTCGAGCCTACACCCGCTGCGGAATCTGAAGAGCCAACATGGGCGCTGAAGCCTTCAAAGAAAGACAAGAAGAAGGCAAAGAAGAGCCGCGGCCTGTTTGAAGAGGATACTGTTCCAGAACCACAGGGAGAGCCCTTGGAAGACGTGGCAAAAGATATTCCCATCGAAACTTCTCTTGGTACTCTCAGTGATGAGCCCACCACCGTTGAGCCCACCATCGTTGAGCCTACCATCGTTGAGCCCACCGCCGTTGAGACCGTCCCCTCTACAGAACTCGAAGAGTCATTCGAGCTAACATGGGCGCTAAAGCCATCAAAGAAAGACAAGAAGGGAAAGAAGTCTCGCGGTGTTCCGACTGAGGATACTGCTGTAGAGCCACTCAGCGCTCCTGAAGTACAGCCATCTGAAGCTTCAGCAAACGACGCCCCCGCAGTCCTTGACGCGCCCACCACTGCTCTCGACGAAGAGCCAATTGCGCCTTTGGTAGAACCCGAAGAACAGATCGAACCGCAGTGGTCGCTAAAACCCTCCAAGAAAGACAAGAAAGGGAAGAAGGCGGCTCGTGGAGGCGAAACTTCGGCGCCAATTGAAGACACTATCGTCGAGCAGTCCACCCTCCCAGAAGCTCAACACTTTGAAGATTCGTCACCAATCGTCGATGCGCCTGTTAGTACTATTGAAGTCGAACCCATCGCGCCTGTAGAGCCCGAAGAGCAGGCCGAACCGGAGTTTGCCCTCAACCCCTCGAAGAAAGACAAGAAGAGGAAGAAGGCAAAGAAAGCATTCGAAGACCAGGCCTCAACTCCGGTTGAGGACACGTGCGAGCAGTCTGAAGATTTGACTAGAGACGCTTCCCTAATTGTGGACACACCTATAAGTGCTCTTGACAGCGAACCAATTGCGCCTGCAGAATCCGAAGAGCAGGCCGAACCGGAGTTTGCCCTCAAGCCATCGAAAAAAGACAAGAACGGGAAGAAGGGGAAGAAACTACAGGAAGACCAGGCCTTAAGTTGGGCTGATGAGGTCGCGGAGACAGCTGATGATTCAATGAAAGCTGATGATTCAATGAAAGACGCTCCCCTAATCGTCGACGCACCAGCAAGTGCTCCTGACAGCAAACCAATTGCGTCTGCAGAATCCGAAGAGCAGGCCGAACCGGAGTTCGCCCTCAAGCCATCGAAGAAAGACAAGAAGGGGAAGAAGGGGAAGAAAGCACAGGAAGTTCAAGCCTTAAGTTGGGCCAGTGAGGTTGCGGAGACTGCTGATGATTCAACGAAAGACATTCCTCCAATCGACGCTGCGGAACCCGACGAGCAAATCGAATCAACATGGGCGCCAAAACCCCCAAAGAAGGACAAGAAAGGGAAGAAGGGAAAGAAAGCATTCGAGGTCGACGACACACCTGAGTTATCCGAAGACTTAACGAAAGATGCTCCACTAATCGTTGATGCACCTATCGAATCCGAAGCGCCAATTGAGCCAGAATGGGCGCCGAAGCCGTCGAAGAAAGACAAGAAGGCGAAAAGGGGCAAGAAAGCATTCGAGGTTGAGGGCACACCTGAGCCATCCGAAGATTTAACTGAAGACGCTCCAACGGTCGTCGACATACCTGCTTATTCTCCCCACGACGAACAATCTGCGCCCACAGAATTTGAGGAGCCTATTGTGGAGACGTTTGCACTGAAATCTTCGAAGAAAGACAAGAAAGCGAAGAAAGCCCGCGAAAGCGAAGTGTCAACTCCCCCTGTAGACCTCAACGATGAAGCTACTTCGCAAACCAAGACTGTCGACGGATTTGAGGCTGGCTATAAGGAAGATCAGTTGGCTCTAGCAAGGCAATTACAAGCGGAATTCGGATCAGGATCGGCGAAATCTAAGAAGTCCAAGAAGAAGTCTCGCGGCGGAAGCCAACCCTCAGCACCCTCTACACCTGTCGAAGTAGAGGCTGCTGAGGTTGAGTATTTCGAGAGCGCTCCGCAACCAAGATCTATCGACGGCCTTAAGGTTGGCTACGAGGAGGACCAATTATCTCTCGCAAAACAACTGCAAGCCGAGTTCGGATCAGGCAGCAAGAAGTCTAAGAAGGGGAAGAAGTCTCGCGGAAGCCAAGGCTCAATGCCATCTACACCTATCGAACTTGAGACTGCTGAGGTTGAGAACACTGAGTGTGCTTCTCAGCCAAGAGCATTCGACGGACTTGAGGTTGGCTACGAGGAAGACCAGCTATCTCTCGCAAAGCAATTGCAAGCTGAGTATGGGTCGGGTAGTAAGAAGTCTAAGGGGAAGAAGTCTCGTGGAAGCGAAGTTTCATCGCCCTCTACACCCGTTGAAGTCGAAAGCTTTGAGAGTGATCCACAACCAAGAGCTATCGATGGCTTCCAGGTTGGCTACGATGAGGACCAGCTGTCTCTCGCGAAGCAGTTACAGGCTGAATTTGGATCAGGCAGTAAGAAGTCAAAGAAGGGCAAGAAAAACCGCAGCTCTTCTGCAACGCCAAAGTCAAATTACGAAACTTACGACGAAGAGCCGCAGGCTTTCAAGTCTGAAGCAGCGACACTAGACTCTCAACATGACAAACCTAAGGATCTCGACAATTCACCTATCTATGAGGCAGCCGAAGCGCCACGAGACTTTCAAGATGTCAGGTCGGTTGAAGTACCACAGGCAGCAGAAGACAACTCCACAATCGAAGCTATGGTTGGAGCAGCAGCAGCCCTTGGAGCTATTGGAGTCGGCGCAGCAATCAAACATGCAGTCGAAGCTCCAGAGGCGCCAGAAGACAAATCTTCCCACGACATTATTGAGGTACCAAGGGAAGTCTCGCAAGATCCCAGATCTCTTGATATGCCGGAATATCCAGGAGATACCACAGTTCCTCAAGTGGTAGTCGACGCGCTGCACGACCTGCAAGGATCTCGATCTATTGATGGTGCAGATTTCCCAGAAGTCGTCGCATCAAGAGACTTGCAAGATTTCGAATCGAAACCCGAGCATATGGCCACGATACATCAGCAAGAAAAGCCAGAAGCTTTGGAAGAGCTTTCCCACCCATCATTTCCAAAGCATGTCATAGCGGATAGAGAGATTGGTAGCCCGTCGCACGTTACATCTGACTATCTGAGTCCTGAACCTCAATGGCACACTCCATCCCGGCTACCTGTCGTGCTCGAGGAGGATAGCACCGACTATAAGAAGTCTTCCGACACCGCACCTCAGGAGCACATACCTCTTGGAGACAGTAGTATGGATGACTTCAATCGCGACAGCGCCTACGTGGCCGAATCGCCAATAACTACTTCACGGTCGCTTGCAGCAGATCACGAATATACGAGAGACAGCGGTGTTCACATTGAAGGACGGAGCCGTAGCCATACTCCTGAGAGGAGGGCGTCTCCCCCACGAACCCCAGCAGCAGTGTCTGACGACGCACTCGCACGTCTCTCATGGCCACCTGTGAATGATGCGGATGAGACCGTGGACCTGCACAGACCAAAGTCCCGTAAGCTTCAGGAACAATCACGACTTACGCCTTTGAGTTTCCCACCTCCTGCTATTGGACTTGGAGCCGCAGGTGCAGGTCTGGCTGCTGCAAGAGGCTACGACAAGCTGTCTCGCGCTGGTAGTCCCGACATTTGCAGGTCGTCCGCTGATAGCCCCGAACTTCGCAGATCGTCTGGTGAGATCAAACGTATGACAACTCCGCATCGCATAGAAACCCCACGAAGCGTGAGCGAACGCAAAACTCCAGATATCAATCGTCTTCATACGCCAGATCAGGTGCGAAGTCGACCTGTGAGTGCGACCAGTAGTAAATTTTCGTCAGGCACGCCTCCGCTGCGCCGTAGCGACCGCAAGACTAGCGGGGACCTAAGGTCTCTGAGCCAACGGAGCCAGCCGAACCTTGACGAGGCAGCTCGGGAAGCTAGACACAGCCCTGTAGGGCCCAGCACCTCCGACATCACCAACCCCATCGCAAACGAAGGCCGCGTCCGACTGAAGGACATGGCTGACGTCTACGTAAGTTTATATGATGATAGTACTATGTATGAAATAAATACTGATGATCTGCAGGATGGCTACGGCGAAGGGCGCATTGGGTCGCCAAGGTCACCCACCCGACCACACAGTATGCGCCGGAGACAGAGCATGCAAGTCATCGACCTCGAAGCAAGGCTCGAACAATTAGCAGCAGAGAATCGCATGCTGGCCGAGGCCAAGGAACAGGCAGAATCCAACCTTCACCAGTCGCAGCGCGCGACCTCCGACCTCACCGACCGCGACGCAGAAATCGATACATTGAAGCGCACGCTCGACTGGTTCCATAAAGAGGTTGATCGACTGAAGGAGATCAATGAGGGGCTTACGAGCGCGAATGTCACGATCGGACAGCAACATGATAATCGCTATACCCAACTTGAGAGCCAGCATGCGCAGGCTACTAGGGAGCTTGAAGAAGAGCGACACGCGCACGGAAATCTATCCGAAGGCATGGCAGTGATTATACAAGGCAAGGTTCAGGAAGAGCTACAAGACAAAGACCGCGAGCTTGAGCAGTTGCGCAACGAGCTCGATTCAGCGCGCGAGCAGATCAAAGGGATGCAGCGCCAGATCCTGAAATCCAAGTCCGAGGGTGCTTCCTTCCTTGTGGTGCGCAACGAGGACTACTTCGACGACGCCTGCCAGAGACTCTGCGAGCACGTATCGCAGTGGATCCTGCGCTTCTCCAAGTTCAGCGACATGCGCGCCTGCCGACTGACATCGGAGATCAGCAACGACAAGATTATCGACCGGCTGGACAACGCCGTGCTCGACGGCTCCGATGTCGACGACTACCTCGCCGACCGCGTGCGCCGCCGAGACATCTTCATGTCCATGACCATGACCATGGTATGGGAGTACATTTTCACACGCTACCTATTCGGCATGGACCGCGAGCAGCGCCAGAAGCTCAAGTCCCTCGAGAAGATGCTCCTCGAAGTCGGCCCGCCCGCCGCAGTCCATCAATGGCGCGCAACGACGCTTTCCCTGCTCGCGCGCCGTCCCGCCTTCGCCGCACAGCGCGACCAGGACACCGAGGCTGTCGTCCAGGCCATCTTCCAGACCCTGAGTACAATCCTCCCGCCGCCCTCCAACCTAGAGGAGCAGATCCAGGTGCAGCTCCGTCGCGTCGTCCGCGTCGCTGTCAATCTGTCCATTGAGATGCGCACTCAGCGCGCGCAGTACATGATGCTCCCACCGCTTCAGCCAGAGTACGACGCCAACGGCGACCTGGCGCGCGAGGTCGCCTTCAATGCTGCGCTGATGAGCGAGAAGATCAGCGCGGGCGGTTCGAGAGGGGCGCCGCAGGTGAGCGGCGAGGACAGAGAGGAGGAGGGCGCTGTGGTTCAGGTTGTGCTGTTCCCGCTTGTGGTGAAGCAGGGTGATGATGAGGGGGTGGGAGAGGAGGAGATTGTGGTGTGCCCCGCTCAGGTGCTCGTTGCCAGGCCGAGGGAGCCCGGGTCGAGTGTTGGGATGAGGGGGGGGAGGAATGTGAGCAGAGTTAGTATCCCGGTTAGTTCGGCGATGGGGAGTGAAATTTAGTGTGATGGGGGAGGAGGAAAAAGTTTGATGATGATGACGGATGGGTGGAAGGAAGGATGGATGGGATGTGTTAAAGATATTGGTTGTTTTTTGTTTTTTTTGTTTAGCTGGCGTTGGGTGGATACCTGCATTTGGGCCCTCTCTTTTTCGCGGTTGCAGAAGGGGATTGGGTATAAAATAGTTTCCTTGAGCGTATATCGAATTTATATTTTATGTTTATTGTCTATCATTCTGTCTTCGTCTTGCCGTGTAATGCCCCCCCCCCCCTTTCCCCCCCTTCATGCATATAAAACCCCATCCTCCAACATGACAAGATCATCACAGCTCTACTAGAGCAGCCATAAAGGCATCCGCTGGTCGACCAGAACCACTAACTGGTCGGTCACCCGCCAGGAAATCAACGGGTCAGTATCGCTCCAGTCATCCTCGTCTTCCCGCTCTTCCATCATTTGTCAACATTGACAACAGCATAACGGTAGTGTCAGGGCGCAACGACAGCGACAATCTCTTAACAGCAGCATCTACCGTGATGACACAGCGATGGGAACGCATCTCTCACCATCTTCGAGCCAGCTACGTACGCTACTCACGGAGGGGCCAACTGTGGGAGGAGGGATAATCAGGCGAGGATTTTGGAGTCGCACTTCTAGCTCAGTCGTCTCTGACTCAAGTTGTTCCTTGCCGTGGCGGGCAACTTCCTGCTCTTCGCGAGACTTTTATCATAGCCGGCAGTCGTGGTGGAGAGTGCCTTATCGATCTGCTGCTCATTCCCATGGAGAATATAGCCTCGACACCATCCATCCGCACACAACACCTACATTTCCAAGAAACTCGCTGTGTACTGGACAGCTGTAGTTTTCTTAGAACCTGTAGACCAACATTATATCATGCAGCATTAAACAAACAAAGGTTTCCAACCCTTGAGGATGTATCGGAACCCCGCATAGCCGTGCTATGATAGTTATCGCAGTGAATTTAGGTTTGGACTTGGTATAAACCCCCCCCTATCCGCTCACCCCTCAACCAACTTACAGGCGCGCAAAAGCAGAACGTAGGTGACCCGACCATCCCCCCAACCTCAGGTGACGCACCCCATTTCTGGCAAATCCTCGGCTGACCCCCCCCACAAACAAAGAGTTCACAGGTGAGCTGACCATTAGGGGTAGGCTCAGCTGACCCGAAAAGGGGGGTCAGCTGGGCCTTGCCTGTTACGAGCTACTCGAGCGTTTGCCTTTTCAAATGCATTTCAAGAGATGCCTGCACCACAACATCCTACGTTCAATCTTAATGACGATTGCCCAATACATTCCAAGCTTGAACAGGCACTGAGGAGTTGCTGTCGACAATTCGTCAAAGACCCATCGAAATTTGCTAGGGGTTCCAAAAAAGGATACCAAGTGGAGGAGTGACTTGCGCTCAGCCTATGACAAGATCTATCAAATCAGATCAAGTTGTGTCGAGGCTCCCTGGTTTCACAGTGGCCATGTCGACACCCTTGGCTACCATCTGAGAATTCGATGCCTCTAATAAACAGACAGTCCGCTTCAGACAGATGTGACGGGCTGTATGCAGAATGGTACAAGAATTATCAATTCAAGCTTCATATAGAAGAAGTGCAAGGTATCTTAGCTGGCATGTGGTGTCAGGAAAACAGGACCCATCGCCTAGAGAGTCGAAAAGTTGAAGTACACTCACAATTTCTCCAAAAAAAACCGCCAAGCTTGCTGGACCTCTTTGAGGCATTCGAAGCTCCAATATTAGGCGATTGCCCGCCACCTCTATCGTGCAAGAGGAATTCAGTCCTAACAGGGTTAGCACAAATAATCATAATAATCATGACTAACGTACTCCACAAGCGAGCGGCGCACACAAGTAAGTGGCGCACGCATCACGAATTCTAACGCGTATAGTATCCTTTAAATCAATATGTCTCAACCAATTGACCTGCAATTAATCCACAAAGAGGGTCGAATGACTCTTGCACTCCAAGCCTATAAAAACGGCCATTTTACGAGTGTTAGAGGTGCTGCGGTCGCGTACGATCTTCCTGAGTCCACTCTGCGGGCGCGCGTTAAAGGACGGACCGCGCGACGCGATTTACGGTCCGCAAACCTCAAACTTACAGCTACTGAGGAGTTAACACTTATCCAATGGATATTATCTATGGAGGAACGAGGCCTACCACTTAGAGCTAATTCCTTTCGACAAATGGCAAATCTACTTCTTCAAAAACGGACTGACGCAGACCAGGATCAGACTCCTACAGTTGGCCAGAACTGGGTTTATAATTTCGTACGACGACACAACTCCCTCCAATCAAAATACACCCGTAAATACGACTATCAGCGGGCAAAATGCGAAGATCCTACGATTATTCGGGACTGGTTTCGGCTTGTATGGAATACAATTGCTAAATATGGGATTCAAGAGGAGGACATCTACAACTTTGACGAGACTGGGTTTCAAATGGGAGTAGTCACGACCGCGAAGGTAATTACAGGTTCTGAGCGGGCTGGCAAGCCAGTTTGCGTACAGCCAGGGAACCGCGAATGGGTTACTGTTATTGAATCAATATCTTCAGACGGATGGAGCTTGCCAGCAATGGTTATTTTTGAGGGCAAGGTTCATATATCGACTTGGTACACAGACACTTTGCCTTTAGACTGGACAATTGCAGTTAGTGAAAACGGGTGGACGGACGATTCTCTAGGCCTTGCTTGGCTTACGGACATCTTTCAGAAGCATACAAAGGACCGTACGAAGGGGGTTTATCGGCTTCTTATTCTCGACGGACACGGGAGCCATTCGACTCCAGAGTTTGACCTATTCTGTTCCGAGCACTCAATTATTACGCTTTGCATGCCGCCGCATTCATCACATCTCTTACAGCCATTAGACGTTAGCTGTTTTGCGGTTCTAAAACGGTCATACGGACAACAAATTGAAAGATATATGCGGGTTGGACTAAACCATATTGACAAACCGGATTTCCTTACAGCCTACCTTTCGGCCCGCAAAGAGTCTATGGTGTCATACTGACATTCGTTGCACTCAGTTTGCTATCAAACTCAAGAGCAAACTTAGAAATCTCCTCCTCAAACCTACAAGTCACCATACATATCTTGGCTTATCACACCAACAACAGAAGCAATACTACTCAACGATTGCTGCAAACTCTTCTACTACATCTGTTTATGCTACATACATCACGGCATATCATTTGAACACTCATTGAACAAGTTATTAAGAAAATCTCCTCCTTAAGGGGGTGGGCCAATACTACCACATGGCATATATCTACCAACTAGAGGCCTAGGAACATGAACGATAGCTCTAGAAGCTTCTACAACCCTCTATGATTCATTACACGTCATCGCTCCTTAGTTACCCACAAGATTGGTTAAGTTATGACATAATTTATCTATAGGTACTCTGACCTTGGACCTCCTTTTCACTTCCTATAGGCTAGGAACCCAAGAGATGGTTCTATGGGATTCTCTTACGTTCACTACATGATTAGCAAGCTAGTTGTGGGTCGCACTTGATTTCTAATACATTTACCAAGCCTGGTTAGTCATGGAAAGTCATGGAAAATGAGAGAACTACACTCCTTTGGCATAAATAGGATTGCCCTTTCCTTAAGAAAGGGCAAGCAGGCAATACAGTAAATCGACTAGCACATACTTCTACGTCTTTTCCAAGCTTCCAAGCATTGATCTTGTTATTCTCTGTTTTTGAAAAGTCAGTGAGGTGCTAACCTCTGACTTACCCCTGAGTTCTCAGACTCAACATTTGTTGCAACTTGTCTAAACCACTTCACCACATCATACACCTGATTGCTGCGTTGTGGAATAGTCTAAGCTACAACCCTTTGGCTCTGTTTCCTAAGACAGTGTGTTGTCTTAGTAAATTCATCCCTTCCTTGGGTGGCTAGATTCTCATATCTGGTGCACCCACCATTACATATGGCCCTTAATGTGTTCCGTAGTGGGTTTGCAGCTACAGGTCTAGTCCCGTACGACCCAGAACGAGTGCTGTCAAAGCTTAATACTCAGTTACGGACGCCAACTCCACCTCTGCTTCTTCCTGCCCTACAAGACTGTTGGGTACCCGAAACGCCTCATAATGCTAGTCAATTAGAGCTTCAGGCTACAGCAATTAAGGGGCGCATTCAACGTCGTACAGCAGGTTTATCAAGTCCTACAGATCAGGCGTTCCAGCAGCTAGTTAAAGGCTGTCAAATGGCTATGCATAATGCGGCTCTTCTAACGGAGGAAAACAAGCAATTGCGGACGGAAAATGAAAGACAAAAGAAGAAGAGAGCAGTAAGGAGGTCGTATGTAGCTAAAGGAGGTGTTTTGACAGTCCAGGAGGGCCTAGATCGACTACAAACAGCAGATATAGATATTGTAGGTAGGGTTGCAGGTCAACCTACAGAGCCACAAACTCGTGCACCACGGACGTGTAGTATGTGTAAATCACTCGCGCATACTGCCCGTACGTGTCCATTAAGGGAGGTTTCTAATTAGGGTAGTTCTATAGGGTTTAATAAATTGTATTGTTGTGAAATTAACCTCTAGAGTTATAGAATTCGTGATGCGTGCGCCACTCACTTGTGTGCGCCGCTCGCTTGTGGAGTACGTTATTCAAATAGTCAAATATTACATAAGCATGATTATCACATGATGTTAGAATCACATGGCCAAGTAATTATCTAACGTGGTTTATCAGTACGTCGGACATATCAGTACCTCGGACACTTTTCCCGAATTTCCTACCCTCTAACTTCACAACGCGTTTTTTCCACCTTTTATTATGTCAGTGATTACCCAAGAAGCAAAAATCATTCTAGCTATCGAGGCTATCCGAACATCAAAAAATCTAAGTCGTCGGAAGGCTGCTAAGCTCTATGAAGTACCTCATTCTACACTCTGCGACAGAATGAACGGCCGAACTACTGTCTACGAACGCCGGCCTGCAATGATGAAATTAACTATACTAGAAGAGGAGGTGGTTATTCGGAATATACTTGATATGGATTCAAGAGGATTTGCACCCCGGCTTGCTGGTGTAAAAGATATGGCAAATTTTATACTCGAATCGCGTGGAGGGAGGCGCGTCGGGAAGCTCTGGGCCCACTGATTTGTACAACGACGTCCAGAATTAAAGACGCGTTTTAATCGCGTTTACGACTTCCAAAGGGCCTTGTGCAAAGATCCTGAAC